GAAAAAGCAACAGCCAGGCGATAAAATGTAAAGCCCTGCGATAGGAACTATAGCCCGGCTGTATAATTTTTTATCGCTTCGTGTAGTCCGGCTGTATGATTTTTCCCACTTTCTACAGCCAGCAATATGATTTCCTATCGCCTCCTTCAGTCGGCTGTAAGAACTCCTATGGTATTTTGAAACGCAGCTCCTATCGCCAATTTTTACCAGGGTATTGCAATTTTTGTTTCGATGATACCGCGGTAAATTGCCGGGAGATAAAATTGCAATTTTATTGCGATAAGATCGAGGATAATCGCTCAGATGTTGATGATTCAAGCGATTTTATCGCCGATGGAATCGCAATAAATCGCGATTTTTCCGTTGAAAAATGCTACTTGGGAACTTGGCCATATTGTGGCGAGCCATACAAGAGGGTAGGGTCTAGGGATGCGCGGTGGCACGACGGTGGAACAATAATGGGAGTCCACGATTAGTTGAACAATTAACTGGGGCAATGACTAAATAAGAATCTAAGGTGCTTTAAATATCGCGATTGCCGTTTACATTCCTGAGCGCCTCCGTTTCGCCCGCCAATTTTTGGGTACGTCCCGCTGCCCGTTACCGCGGCGCGGCGCGCGGCCGTCCCGCTGCCGCACAGTGGATCGAGTCAATCAGAAAGGTCGGACAAGGAATTTCCAATTAAAACCGAAAATTTTGATGTTTAATTCGACACATTTTAAATTTTCAGGGGTGCGTCCAGAAGAAAATTTCGCGAGGAAACCAATAGATCGTATTCGATAGTGGTTCGATTTTTCGTTTGGCTCAATTAAAAAAATAGAACATACCTAACCTCAAACATATGTGCGGGGTGCGGGTGACTCTCTCGAACCCCCTGTCAGCTGATTGCGGCTGTCGGGGGGTGGGACTGGCCGCCCGTTCCTGGCACATGCGAGCAGTAGTTGCCGGAGCTCGATTTTCTCCCCGCTTTCAAAGAGAGAAAGAAAGAAAGAAAAAAAAACTTCAAACAAAAATTTTAGGATCCAAATTGGAAAAGCTAAATATGAGAAAAGACCAAACTATTTCACTCTTCATGGCCATTTTGAACTCATAAGTATCAAAAACCCATCACAAAAAGCCCGTTCCCTCAGATTACTCAATTGATTTTTGAGGCTATGTTTACACGTTGAAACAATCGATTTCGATACAATCTCACGAATTCGATGTATCGAATGTGATCCATGGAACCACTTTTAAAACCTCAAAATTTTGGATATACGGAGTCATAAGCTTTTAAAATTTCCAAATTTTGTCCGACCGCTCGTGTTGACTCGATCCACTGTGTGCCGCTGCGCCTCACCTGATTCGCGTCGCACTTATCATGCACTCTCGAGTGATCGAGCCATCGAATTTATTGCCAAACGCCCCGAGAAACGCCACACAGTGGGTCGGGTCAATTAGAGAGGTCGCGCATGAAATTTTAAACTAAAACTGCACATTTTTATATTTATTTCGTCAGATTTTATATTTCAAGGGATGCCTCTAGCAAAAAAGTTTACGAGAAAATCGATGGAGCCACTTTCAGAACCTCAAAACTTTATATAAACGGAGTTAAAAGCGTTTAAAGTTTCCGAATTTTGTCCGAACTCTCCTATTGACTCGATCCACTGTGCGCCATAGCCGGTCGAAGCGCCGAACGCGTCGATCACTGATTTAATGCAAAGCGGACTCGATACAGGCTCGTTTTCACAAATCTATTCACTTGGAAAATTGCTACAACCTACGCGCAGCATCGCTGATACGAAAAGCTTTGTTGATACGGGCAGCCTGACCACGCCCTCGGCGGACAGTGATGTCATTTCACCAAAACTTGGGGGTGGGGGGGGGGGGGGCAAAATACCTTTCTTTTTGGTTCGCTTGCTTGTCAGAATAACATCATGAGAGCATATATCGTTAATTTAAAAAATGCAACTTGTTTACTTCCCGGCATCCATTCTCGTAGTCCACTTTCCTCATTTTTCATCTACACGGAAAAAAATTAAATGCTGATTTATCATGTAAATTGTTTTAAAAAAATGCCCGTCAAGTTTCAAACGATGATTTTACAATACAAAAATTCTTAACAACATTTGAATTTGTTCGTTTTAAAGTGGGCGTAGTTAAGTTAGCATTTCTCCAAATGTAAAATCAGCATTTGAAACTTGTCGGACATGTTTTTAACAATATAAATGTAATATCAATACATGATTTTTTTCCGTGTAGGCCTTCTGAGAGTGAGAGACGGCGACCCTCATCCCCCCTTCCCTCCATGACACCACTGTCAATAAACGCAGAGAGAGTCAATTTTCCGGAGAATCTGTGCCCGATGGAGAAAAACAAGAGTCATTTTCGAATTCAGCAGCCGCAATTACTTAAGCACACGAAAATCGCACGCCTAACAAAGTTTCCTACCTGTTTCTAATATCGAGGTTTTCCGGATAGGTGCTCCACGTCGTGTATAATACCATGTAAAATTCATCCGATTGTTTCCCTGGTAAAAATTGGTAGTAGAATCTGTGTTCCAAAATACCATAGACCTACAGCCGGCTGTGAGATTTCTAATAGCTTCTATAGCCGGCAACACAATTTCTTATAGCCTTTTATAGCCGATGGCGATTAAGCAACAGCCTGGCGATAAATTGATTGCTAAACGTTACTAATTATGGATGCTAGGACTTAGTGAGTTTTTGGACTACCGCTCTCTTTTTGGGCCGCAGTATCTTGATTTAATTTGCGAGGAAAGCTCCGCTCTTTTGAAGGATGCCTGACATTCCTAAGATGTTGGAGCGCCTTCAATTTCGTACAATACTGTGCAATACCTCTGGTGTGAAATAGTTGCTTCAAGCGCCGTGGTACGCTGCGGCGCAGCAGCGCGGCGGGCGGGCAGCCAGCGCTGAACGCGCATTGGCGCCTGCAAATCTAACAGGGATACTTCACGCATTGCGCAATGCGTGAAGTATTCCTGTTAGGTTTGTAGGCGCCGGTGCGCCGCCGCTCCGCTTTGTGTTAAGCTCTTATATTTAATCTCGCGGAGTCAGCGTTTTTCAACTCATGACTTTGAAATGTTTGCACACTCTGTATGGATTATTCTCATTTTAATTGATGAAAAAAAATATGTAGTAAAGGAAAATATGATGTGCGTTTTGTAAATAATATTAAGGTGATTCTGTACAAACTTAAGGATTTACAAAGCACAAGAATTTCTACTCAATTTCTTATAGCCTTTTACAGCCGATGGCGAAAAAGCAACAGCCAGGCGATAAAGTGTAAAGCCCCGCGATAGGAACTGTAGCCCGGCTGTATAATTTTGTATCGCTTCGTGTAGCCCGGCCGTATGATTTTTTCCACTTTCTACAGCCAGCTGTATGATTTTCTATCGCCCTCTTCAGTCGGCTATAAGAACTCCTATGGTATTTTGAAACGCAGCTCCTATCGCCAATTTTTACCAGGATTTGCATCGGAATAAAGAGAAAACAAGTTTTTTCTCAGGTAGCAAGTTAGTATTCCCAACATAATTTTTGCCACCGAGTCCGAAAATTACCGAATTGTTTTACCAAAAAAATTGATTTTTCAAGAAAGGACGTTTTTCCAGCTCAAATGAATGCCTTTTTTTAGGAAACTTGATTTTTCAAAGGTTTTGGAAGGAAACTAAGGTCATTTTCTGCTTCAGCGGCAAAAATTGAGTAGGAATAACTCCACTTGTTACCTGAGAAAAAAAAAAATGCTCTCCTCCTTTCTGACGCAAAACAATTACCTTCGTGGCGTTATGTGAGCGAATAGTGACTACATTTTTTGTGAATTCTCATGTGATTCAACGAATATTTCTTGACGTTTTCGATAAAGAACTTGGATGTCACGTAGAATTTTTTTAAACATTTTTATTTTAACTACAATACATTTTAACTGTCTTAACTGCGATTTGGGTTGACACTGACAGGAGTTTTGATGTCAAAATCCCCTTAAAAATATTTTCCTTCGCATCAGTGTCGATTTCTCAATTTTGAATATTTCCGTGCCAATATCCATGTTCTTGTCAACTCACAGAGGTTGTAAAAACATTTTACATGTCGACGGCGTAGGTAAGTCGGCAATCACATGACTCGGTTTGCGACGTCGCAGACTTCCTGTCATACTTCATTTTTTAAACGGAAAACTTCTCAACGGCAATTCTTTAAAACTGCCGTAATTTTTCTTCTCTGTGCGAAGAAAATTCTGCAAAAACTTCAAGGAATGTCATTTGTACTCCTTTAAAAAAACAACATGGAGGCGGAGATTTTCAGGCACCGCAAACGAGTTATGTGACTGCGAACTTACGCTGTCGATGTAGGTACGTAAGACGATCTTGTCGTTTTGTGACTTCTGTGCGTGACGTGGAGGCGTATCTGCACTTTCAAAGAAGAACTTTCGGTCGTTTAACTCCATCATTCCCAGGGGTGATAGGGAAGTGGAGATGCGCTCTTATGTTAACTGAGCGACGATCTGTCAAAATGTGAAAAATGAACACACACCTTGACCGTCGACACCGAGAAAGAAAAATTACACACACACCTCATCTACATCCCTTTTTCTTGAAAGTGGAGACGCATCATTCAACTTCCCACGAAGATTCCTTACACTCGAATTAAATCCCAACTGCCCAAGTAGCACATGATTGAGAATAAATAATTGCAATCACATGTTAAAATAATTACTATTCTATCGGAGTGTGGTATAATGTTGTCCACCGACTGACTGAAAGGGCTCCTCTTATTGAACTTTATTGCAATAAAATGAAAGAGGCTGTATTTTTTTTGCCTTGCAAAGTGCCTACTTTTCTCACGAATCCTTTTTTTTTATCGTTTAAAATCGGCATTTATTGACCAAATGGAGTAAAAAATTGCAATTTATTTCAAGAAGTTGCAAAACCATTTCAACGGGTATCTTTGTTACACTGTGCTACTTGGGTATAGGAGAATATTTTTTCTCAAATGAATATAGTATACCTGTTATACTTGGTTGTTCTTGGATGAATGCTTCACGATGATGAGTGGTGGAAGTAGTTGGCTGATTGGGTATCCGGAAAATGAGGAATGAGTTCAGTTGCTAACGACGAATTTCAACTTTGAGGAATCGATGTCACCGGTTTAACATTTTTCACACGTGAAAAAAATGAATATGGAGAAAATCACAAAAATCGAAATAATTTACAATTCCAAAACGATTGCTAAAAAGATTAAAGGTATGAACAAAATTTCCTAATTTTTTTGGTCTAGATACCTTCACTCTCTGAACGGAAAGTGACCGGGGCGAATACGCACTGAGGATTCCTGGCACAATGCGACGAATTTTAGTGAAGTATCGAACAAATTTGAAAGTGAAATTAAATCGAACGCGCGTGAAGAATAGCGAGTTGAAATTAGACACTTTCTTACTGGTCGGCAGGCAAAGAAAGGGAAAGCCCTCACACGTGCGTGTTGAAAGGTTAGGAAATCGATCTGGGAACGATGAGCCCAGGAAAAAACGAAAACCGCGGCACGCGGGAGCCAAGAACTGGAATCCGAAGGCGTGTGTTTTGACGAGTCGAAAATCTGCGGGCGAAGCGGAAATCGGGATCCGTGGCGCCGAAAATCGCGGAGCTAGTGGAAGCTGGGATTTCGCGATTCGAGCGTGCGACCTGGCCTCCCGGCGCCTATATTCGATGCCAACTAAGCCGCGCTCAGCTGGCATCGCGATCCCAATCCGCACCACGGTTTCGTACACATGGTAAATTTAAATCGCTGACCGACCGCCCGACCTCCCGGCACAAGCCCCTGTTGCCGCCTCCGACTCCGTCGAACCCGGCCCACAGTGGGTCGAGTCCGCAGGAGAGGTCGGACAGAATTTACAAACTTTGAACGCTGTTAACTCCGTTTATACAAAACTTTGAGGTTTTAAAAGTCCCTGTTGCCGCCTCCATCTCCGTCGAATCCGGCCCACAGTGGGTCGAGTCCACAGGAGAGGTCGGACAGAATTTACAAACTTTGAATACTATTAACTCCGTTTATACAAAACTTTGAGGTTTTAAAAGTCCCTGTTGCCGCCTCCATCTCCGTCGAATCCGGCCCACAGTGGGTCGAGTCCGCAGGAGAGGTCGAACAGAATTTACAAACTTTGAATACTGTTAACTCCGTTTATACAAAACTTTGAGGTTTTAAAAGTCCCTGTTGCCGCCTCCATCTCCGTCGAATCCGGCCCACAGTGGGTCGAGTCCGCAGGAGAGGTCGGACAGAATTTACAAACTTTGAACACTGTTAACTCCGTTCCGTTATACAAAACTTTGAGGTTTTAAAAGTCCCTGTTGCCGCCTCCATCTCCGTCGAATCCGGCCCACAGTGGGTCGAGTCCGCAGGAGAGGTCGGACAGAATTTACAAACTTTGAACGCTGTTAACTCCGTTTATATACAAAACTTTGAGGTTTTAAAAGTGGTTTCATTGGTTTCCACGTGAAAATTTCGACTCGAAGCACCCACTAAAATTTAAAATGTGACGAATTAAACATCGAAATGTGCAGTTTTAGTTTAAAATGTCATGTCCGACCTCTCTAATTGACTCGATCCACTGTGCGGCAGGAAAAAATAATAATTCCGTTTATACACAACCCTAAGGTTCTAAAATTGGTTTCATTGGTTTCCTCGTGGAATTTTCCTCTCGGAACACCCCTTCAAATTTAAAATATGACAAGATAAACAGCAAAATTTGCAGTTTTAGTCGGAAATTTCATGTCTGATCCCTCTAATTGACTTGATCCACTGTACGGCAAGGAAACAGAGGGTAGTTTTTTATCGCATCATAGTGGATCGAGTCGATAGGAGAGGTCGGACAAAATTTGCAAGCTTAAAAGCTTAAAATTCTACTTGGGGGCCCTGCCCCCTGACCGCTACGCGGCCCAACCCCCGGGAGGGCGCCCCGCGCCCTCAGGCCCGCTTCGCGGGCCCTATACGCCTATGTATAGGCAAAAATGTTCTTCCATTTTAATACACTATTTTGTGTTCGTAGCTGCATCGATTTCAAAATTTTTGACGTAACACTCAGATTTGTAAATGATGAGGAATAGCTGGATGTACATAATTTCACGGTCCACTTACTGGAGAAATTTCCATTTATTAAAAAAAAAATCGGATTTCGACCGTTAAGAGATAATAATATTTGGTCTGTCCCGACGCGACGCAGCGCCTGTTTTTTCACTTTGTATCTGCCGGTTATCTGCTGTAAATATTAATAGAAATTCAGCAATCAAGTAAATTGCCACAAATCGAAGCCGGAAGAATGCAGGAAAAATTGAGTTAAACCTTATACCTTGGACCTTGAACCTTGACCCTCAACTCTTCGAATGAGGCGCCCTTCACGAGCTTTTCCATTATTTTATTGTTTATTCGAGTCACTCAGGTAGAATCCCACACCTTGACGTTTCTAGCGGAAATGGCATATCTCTCACGCTATTAACATTGGACTTAAGTGACATGAGTTTTAAAAGCTCTACAACATTAAAAGTTCGGGGTTTCATAATTTTTTGCACATCTACAAGCCCATGCTGACTATAGTGTGTTTGGCGCCATGCGTGAAGTATTCATGCAGTCTTGCAGGCGCTAATATGTGTTGCATGCCGACCGCCGCGCCGCGCCGAGGGCTTCTCATTATTATCTCAAGTCTTCGTCATCATTGCTCTCTGCGCCGCGCCGCTCCGGGCCAAATTGCGTGTTTGGTTTCTCTTAAAACTCGACTAATTAAAGGTGCTGTCTCTTGTATCACCGAAAGACGACAAAATTAGAAATTACTACACTCTCAGGAAATAGGTAGGAGATTTTGTTGCATTTTCTCGTTCGTAGTTTTTTTCTGAATCCGAATTTTTTTGTATACACCCACATTTTAAAAAAATTGCAAAATTTGCCGCCCCCTGAATTTTCCGCTATGGGCCGCGGCCCATGTGGCCACCTCCTAAATCCGGCCCTGCAAGGAGCATGTTGCGCCGCGCGGCAGCGGAAGTTGAAATTACTAACCCACATTTATGTTTGTTCTTTCAAATTTATTTCGTTCATTTCTCATAAATGGAAGGCATTGTCCACACAGAGATAGGTTTAGGGAGCTTCATTTTTGCGCAAAGTTCCGTGAACTTTTGCTAGTAGTGTTGACAGGGCTTTCGCAAAAAATGTGTTCAACACGAGTAAACGCGTCTTATGCACCCCTTCCCCTCCGGCACGTTCACTTGATGATTTTTATTGATGTCTCAAAACGAATGAGAAGGGGGCGACAATATACAGGCAGCCCATGGGCGGTAAGTTGGTAAATCCGGCCCTGGCTCACGTCCATATGAACCTAATCCATCACTCACATATTTAAGAGGGAAAGAAGTGTTCGAAAAAAAGGAGAGAAAGCACATACCTACATATATTTTAACTGGGACTGGGATATTGCAATTAAGTTCCGATTTATGTTAATTTGTTTGCCTAAGAAAAAAAATAGACCCTTTTTTTTTCACGTATCAATGGTGAAACACCCAAACCACAGATCTTGAATATTAGAGCTGCAACTGGAGAGTATGAATTCGATCTACACCGATTCGATCGACATTCGTTTAAATCTCATTTTTACCTCCAACTCAGAACACAACCTACCCTCACTCTATCACATATCGTTGTCTCCTGTGCGAAGAAACACAACTCGGTGCTGTTGTTTCTGTATTTCTTGCTAAAATTTCATTTTTTTACAGGAGAGCCTTCATATAAATTTGCTGGAAATTTCCAGTGATTTTTTTACTTGTCTGAGAAAAAACAAAAAAATTCTCGGGAAAATTTGTGTGACAGATCTCCCACAGAGGAAATAAAATGTTCAAGGGTATATTAAAACAACCCAAATGAGATACATTTCTTTGGACAAGAGACTATGATAAACAGTACTTACTTAGCTATGCTTCATTTTACTACATATACCACAATGTTGGAAAGGAATGCTGTGAAGCTCTTAAAAGGCTCAGAAAAGTGAGACAAAATTAAGACTTTTCTGTCAAAAAATACTACTTTGGGGCCAGTCCATCTCCTCTATATTTTCAAAAGTACCTCTGCGGGTGATGCAGTGAACTGTCCAGGGCACATGAAAGTAAACATTTTTAGGGCACTTTATAGCACCTTCAACAGAAAAAAGTGAGAAAAGGGTCAAATTTCCGACTGAAGAGCAAATTAAGAGAGGGAATCTGCAAAGAACTTTTTATGCTGATACAAATATGTACAAACATTTTTTACTTTTAAAATTAATGAGTCGTGTGTGTTTGGTTTTTGCTTTACTAGGTACTGAATTTCTAATCCTAACGATTCCTCCTTTAGAGTATAGAATCCACTCCTACAGATATGATACTTACAGGATACATGCATATTATGCATGAACTTATTAGTTGTCAGGAAATTAAATTCAGATTTTTTAACAGAAATTAGGTTATAATTACAAAATATGTACCAAAGATATAAAGTTCCGAGAATCAACAAATAAAAACAGCCATGATGGGTGCCTTCTGAAAGAAAATAGCTAAGTTAAAAATTAAATATACAACAGAATCAATTAGAAAAGAAGGAAAGCTCATTGTGCAGCTATTTTCAATTTCATGTGGTGATGAAATTCTAGTATTCATTTCAATCAAAACATTTTAGAGACACAAATACTTTTTTAGAGGGGGAAAAAACGCAGAATGATAAGTCAAAATTTCTTACTGCTTGTTAATTTCCGCGAAGTGTATTTTGAGATGAAATATCTTTTGAAGATCATCAATACATGCTTTGAAAATTTTTTGTTTGTAATCAAACAGAGAGAGTTTCTCGTTCCTTTTGATCTTCTGTACGGTTCTTTGATGTGACGATAAGTTTTATTCTGGCAACTGTTAAGAAGGTATTGGCCAAAGACTGTCGGGCTTTCATTGCTATCTCCTTGATTCGACCACCTTCCTTCCCTTTGACTAGTCTTTCGATACGAGGAGTGTCACACTTGACTAAAACAACTGCAACTAACGTTTCTGAAAAGTAAGAAGAAATAATACGACCTTCAAAATTCCTGAAGTCATTAAGGTAATGTTTAACATACCGTTTGTCACTTTGTCCTTACCTACGTATATTAGAGCTTCTCCCTTGCTTTTCGTCTCCACCCATGTTGTCTCTTTACCAATCACTGGAGGTTGTTAGGGACAGAAAAATAGGAAGAAAAGGAGAATACACTTACCACAATTTTACCACAGACCCTATTGAAAGACATTCTACCAGAAAAGAGATATGAGAGAGGAAACTCTTCAGCATGCACTTTGAGTCTTTATCTATCATCACTTAAAAACGACTGACCAAACAAGTTGTAAGTCTGACCAGCCCCCATTTGAAACGGCCGTAGAGACTTGCAATCCACATCAAAAAATGTCTTAATGAAGATTTATCAAGTTTTAGATAGATTGACGTTTTCAAAGATTTTCTTATTTCATGATTCCAGTATTCATAGTAGCTCTCTGTCCTTGTCCTTTTGAGAGAGAGGCTGTGGAGCCATGATTCCCTCATAAGGTCTTCTTTGATAAAAAGAACAATGGTTCAAACCGGAACATTAAGACTCTAATTGCACCCCTGTTGTGCATTTTTTCTGCTCATCTCAGAATTAGGAGAACAATTTTTGCCTTTTAGATTTCATATGAACTCAATAAGAAGGGTGAAAAGAAAAACAAACCTTCCGGAGTTGTTTCTAAATACTCCAGCTCAACATCTATCTTGTATGGCATTTCATTTGGCAAACAATCCAACAAGTGGGATCGCACGGATTCTTCAATAAGCATTTTTGGATCCTTGTCTGTAAAAGTATCACTTGAAAAAATCCAAGGCCGTGGCTTTGCTTGACTCAATAGATAGTTCTGAAAAAGAAATGCATGATTTCATATTTACAACTTTCTAATCAAATGCTTCGATATTTTGCCTATTTTTCTCTTACCATCCCTAACAATGAGGTTGACTTGCAGGGAGGCAGTCTTGAGTTTTCAAATCAATTATTTCAGAAGTAAATTGTCTTGGATTTTTAAATAATATGGAGCATTACCTGGGAGAAAAATTGTCTTGACGATCAAAACAACCATCATGAGAACTGTGAAGTAAAAGTATTCCACTTGAAGAAACAAAACTCACAAAGAGCAAATAGTACCATGAAATAATATAACTTCCGTTCATTGAGTGCAGACATATTGGGATGAAAAGCTTTTGAAAAATATTCATTGGCTTAAAGAGGCACTCTCTAGATGTTTCTTTGTGAAAAGTGAACTTTTTAAAAAAAATCACTCAACTACTGAATGAGATGAGGTATTGTTCTATCATTCTTTCAAAAAATTCTCTTTAACTTAGTTTGAGTAAATTAAATTTTTTTATGCTTAATAAATTAAGAGAAAGGAGTAATTTACCCTCAAGTCATCCACACCATCACCATCTAGTGCACTGATCATAAAGATCTCCTTGAAGCCTGAGAAACCAGCTTGATTCTCGATCCTCTTCAAAATTACCATTTCTGTTAACCCTCCACTCTTTTCCTCTTGTTTCTTAAAAGATTCCTCCTTCCTTTGGCCTCTCACTGATCTGTTGGACAGCGCATCGGTCAATTTTAATAAATTCCGTTTATTGCGTATGAGATCGATCTGAAAATAAAAAGTAAAGCTTAAGAATCAATTCTGTCACAAATCATGATAGAGGGGACTAATAAACAGGGTAAGAAATTTAGGACTACAATGTTACCTTGTAAAAATTTTTGGTAGATTATGATGGATGCTTTGAAGCTTTCCAAATCCAACTCATAAGTTAGAAAATAACAGTTTTTGTCTGTGTTAATTCACACTCCTCCCTCACAAATATACCTGAGTCTAATCAAGTCAAATGGACCACTGAGTATATTTTATAATGGAAGAAATTCCCACGTGCTAAATTTTTTTATTAAAAATAAGACTTAAATTAGACTTTCTAGACTTAAATTCGAGATACTTTGTATCAGAGGAGGAGGGTACTGCATGTGAAATCAAGCTCTAGTTATTTCCTTACCATAGAGGTTGATTTCAATGCCTAATTAGTCCTAAATGGCTAGTCCCCAATTTATTTTAATCATTAGTAATATAATCACTAAAATCGCTTTTGATATAATATAGTTTATTTCAGAATTTAGTCTGGCTTCTATGAATCAAATGAACTTTTTCAGTAATTTTTAATTTTTGAACGTTTGAAAAGTAGAGAGTGTACTTCTTTCGATTAGGATATCTAAATAAAAACATCCATACTTTTAAGGAGCCTGAAAATTTTACTTAATAGCCTGAGACTTAATACTTCCCACATAAAATTGCACAAAACAACTCTAAGTACACTAACACATACTTTCTAGACTTTTGCAGAGAGTATCTACACAGCATTCTGCACATTTTTGCATTAGAAATGCGGCGCAATGTAGCTCTTCAAATCAGATTTACTACCTTGTTCAGAATGAGGATGTAATGCTTAGATGGATACAGGTGAAGGATTCGTAACACTTTAGGTCCAAGTCTATCTCTGGTGGCTCGTGTGGAAACATCATGCAAAACTCCAATGATATCAGCTTCATGAATACATTTTTCAGCATCAGTTTTAAAATTGCCCTCTAACTGAAATCTAAAGCAATACAGGGTTACAAAAAATTAGATTAAAAGCATGTATCTGTGTGACAGGACACTATTCATTTATGGTAAAGCATGAAAATACAGAGTCATCCAGGCCACCTACTCTGCTAGCTCTGTTTTTACACCTTCTTTTGACATTAAGTATCGATGACAAAACTATAAAAACAGATATTTCAACTGCCGAGTTTCATTTCTGCTCTCCTTAAGATAGAGTTACTAGATATTTTGGCACAAAAATTAGGCAGTGAGAAGGAATTCATGCAGTGCTGTAGAATAATTTTTCCCATGTAAAAGTTTGTGAAAAACCAAGAAGTTGATTGGAAAGTTTAAAAAAATCATTTATAACGGGAGGAAAAGCTAATAAAAATCCAACCGATGAAAAGCCAAAGGTCAAGTTGATGTAGCAAGGCAATTCCTGAAGATGAGTTTACCTTAAGTAATGAGCAAACACTGTTTCCTCCGCCTGGCTATGTTATCAGCGCGTGCTAAAAATATCATTTAAGACAGTTCCAATTTTTAGAATTTTCAAAACAAATTTTCTTCGACATTTAGGGTTTTGAAAAATCAGAAAAATTCTTAGAACTTTAGTTGGCTCTGTGCTCTATGAAAGTGAATTAATAAATATGAAAGCCAAGAACCAATTGTCAAAGGATATTTTTAAAAGGGCAAAGAAATATTACATGGAGTTTACTAGTAAAATGATGATTAATACATCTCAAATAAGTAAGATGCGCCAAGGAGCATGCAATGCCGTAAGCCAAGACACACAGTAATAGTTTCAGTATTAAAACAGGATTAAAGTGATATTAGGTATGTAAAAAATTAATGCAAGAGCTTACATCTACATCACTTACTTCTGTGATTCTGTTGCTGTCACTAAGCCAGGTGAATCTAAAATTACTATTTGAGTGTCTCCTTCATTCAATACAGCTCTGGCTAAACTCCTGGTTGTGTGCACTTTTTTGGAGCAAGCAAAAACCTGAAATACATCCAGAAAAGAATAAAAATACAGATGCATTTAGTTTGACGCATAAGTCATTTAGCCCCAAAAATGATATGGATTTTACGGCCTTAAATAATAAAAAAAAAATAATCTCTATTGATCGCTGATGGAAATAATTATAGGATATTACCAACTTCAATGACAAACAAATTGGGCACTGATACTAGGCTATTCCAGGTCCATATTAGATGATTGATATTCCGGGAAGGTTTTCAAAAAAAGTGAGTATAGGTCCTTAAAAAACATTGATTAAAAATAAAGCATACCTACTTACTTAGGTACAATAAAAAACATACGGATCAATTAAACAAATGTAGGGAAAAGCAAACGCTTGCGAAGAAAAAACATGATCAAGAGGAAACTACAAATGGACTGCGTTAAACAGAAAGGAACCAAGCCACATCAGCCACTGCCAAATTTAATTTGTTATATGAAAACGGTTGTGCGGATTTTCGTGCAAATTTCAGTGAATTTTTGCCATAATACGAAACAAATTCCAAAACATTTTCAAGGGAATTCGCACAAACAATCTCTCTTAAAACATTAAATTGCTCCGTTAAATTTGGCAATAGTTAATGTGGGTTGGTTCCATTCTGTTAAACGCGGCCCAAATAACATATTTGAAACTACATATTGTAGAGGAGGTATACAGTATCTTTAGTTCAAGTGGAGAAATTTATTTCTTTCAAGAAATCTGTTCTTTGTCAGTTGCTTGCTTGTAGTTAGCATCATGTGACTGAATGTATTGCATTTGTTGTATTGCTTGTAGCTTGATATCATTTATCTTTTTTATGGGACCAGTAGTGTATAGGTACCCCAAGGAAATGCGGATCACAAAGGGAAACTACACTCGAAAAGGGCCCTGATAGAGCTTCCATGTAAACTTTAAGGTTACCGCAAGCCAATGATTGATGACTAATGCTGCATGCCCAGACAGAGGAATGAGTTACTGCGCTTCTCAGCAAGCCACAATCTAACAGTAAAACGTCTTCATAAGTAGGAGAGAAGCCATCCACATTAAGTCAATGAGGGGATGGTAGATGTTCCATCTCACTCTGAGAGTTGATAAACTTCAATGGAATGAGCTCAAACACTACCTCAGAGAATTTAATTATTCATAAATCTAAACATTCTGAGTCAATATTCCGTTTTATGTGTACTTACGGTTCTCTTCACAAGTTGGTTGACAAGGGTGCTTTTACCAACATTTGGATTTCCAAGAATTGCAATTTTCAAAAGTTTTGTTTTACATTCTGGTATCCTAGGAACTTCTTGGCTTTTGTATTCATATTTTTCAGGGGAAGAGGATTGATATGACTGCTGTTGAGTTAGATCTTTAGCATCACTGAATTGTCTCCGAACCAAGGAAATCTCTGGATTGTTATAGGTTGATATCCTAAAAGGATAAGAAACCTTCAATAACTTCTGAGTGAACTTGATTAGCATATTTCTTTCAAGCATGATAGAGGAAATACATGACTTCTATAAGAGGAAAATATTAGAAACAGTGAGCACTTAGGGTTGTTAGTAACATTTCCACGAGTTGTGGGCACTATAGATTCACGTAAATTAAAGGGCGGAGTAATGTTTTAAAGTGGCAACACAAATCCCGTGATTATGTAGAAATTATGAATTTATGAAACTCGAAATGATTTTTCTAAAATTACACAGTGGAACATAAAGCTCAAAAACACCAAAACATGCCAAAAACCCCAAACCTAACCTCTCAAAACATCGTGTTTTTATTTGTTACGAAAATGCCGAAAGTTACAAAAGTTACGAATGATTGTGGTTTTAATGATCAGCTAAAAATGCTGAAGTTTTGTGCTGGTTTAAAGAAAAAAAATTAGGGAATAAATTTTTAAAAAAAAACTGAAATAAAACTTCTGATGTTTTATTAAAAATTTCTGGCAATTTTGTTTTAGAAATAGGGTCTCACATGAGACCGACAGTTTAAATTTTCGCGCCAATCTCTATTCGCACATGCAGCGAGCTCTGTTTGTAAAATGAGTAACTTATTCCAGCCAGCAGCGGCAGCAGTTTCAAATTGTGTTTACAGTGTCGATAATGTAAACAACGGCGGATTGTGTCAACACGTGTGGAATGGGGATCAAAAATTGGCTTTTTCGTGTTATCCCTGATGATCTGTGATAAAAAACGAAAATGTACTCTTCAACGAAGAACGCTGCTGTCGATCGTTTACTCAGCCTGTTATCAGAGTCTTGAAGTACTCAACTGTTTCGCAACCTTCCGTCTCTATACTAAATTTTGATTTATCATTCACCCTCTTACCCTCTGAAGTTTCATCGCATTCAGTTGACTCGAAAGTTACTTCCTTTGTTCTGGTAAGCTCTTAAATTATTGACTTTCCCTCTAATTTGGCTCTGCCATTTTATGGTCAGGCTTAACTGAGTGGTTATTCCAGGAGAAGACCGGCTCTTTGAGAGGGCGCTGGTCAGTAACCTAGGTGTCATCGTAAAGGAGGTAGGGCCGCAGGGTTGGTCCACTTCTTTTGAGAGACAAACTGTCCCCCTCCTCCCTTTAAAGGTCAAGAGGTCCTTGAACAGCAGTGGAAGCACAAGAGTAAAGCTGCCTCGGAACATGGCCCAGTGGGACAGTCTGCCCCCTGCAATATTCTCTTAGGAAATAGTTTAAGTCCATGCTGAAAAGGATTTTTTGTAAGAATGAGACAGAACATCTGCATTCCTTATGATTTTATTTACTTCAACTACTAAAATGAAGGCATCTGACCCCTTGATGTACTCTGAAAGTGTGTTGACTCACATGACGGGAACTCAAAAGTGGTAAATTTTCCTCCTATTTGTATAGGTTTCCTATACCTAGAGGCAAGAAGATTTTGCAACGAGCCAATGAATTATTATCATAAGACTTACAGTGCACTTGCTTTTGGGAGCCTTAATTTGAATTTTTTTATGATTTTATACTCAGTCCTTTCAGAGCCCCCACAAAAATTGTAAGCGAAATCCATTACTGTTACTTCTGAGTAATTTTTTACTGGTACACCATAATTTTGAATTTTCTCCCAGGAAGATGCTCCTATCTTTTATAGATGTATTTTCCTTACTCTCTTTTCATCTACTTAGTTCTTGTTAGAGGTTGTTGGAAGAAGATGATGTATCTGAGCAAAAGTAAATATATACGCATGACAGCTGAAATGGATTGATGAGCACCCCTGAGAGAATAATAATTGAAAAATTTCACGGAGATTAGTTTCCATCCATCATAAAAAATTCAAAATATTGGTTTGCTGCAAGTTGAAAGTCATATGAAACTCCGACTAGTTGTTATTTTGGAAGCTGCCCATGCAACAAATGATCTCCTGAAGTGGTGATGAAAGCTTCGTTACAATATTACAGCAAAAAACCACAGTTTCCTTAATGTTACATTTAGTTGGTGGGGGGGTCTTAGCTCCGTTTTTGCTAAGCATGTCAGCCCTTGTGCTGATTTTAACCAAGTATCCCAAAGCAGAGGAAATCGTGTAAGTATATATGAGAAGAAAACTTACACTTTGTCAGTGAATTCCCTCGGCAGATCCTCCTAAATTTTGAGGGGCTCTGACTAATGTTTCCTCTTATCTAAAACAATGTTTGAATTTCAATCCCTTACGTTGATTTCTTCAGAAGTTACAAAGGTTTGCTATGACTTTTGGAAAGCCTTACTTTAATGCGTTATTTAGTGCTGAAGGATTTAAACCTGTATTTTTTCCAAATATTTGCTCTTTTTGTCCAGGAATGGCTTATTACGACTATGATTATGATGATGAACATATGGATGAAGATGAAGACGGTGGTGACAACTCTTTCAGCATAAATTTCTCTGAAAATTTCTACTTCTGTGTAAAACCAGTTGTGAATGTGTGGGTGAAACACTTCTGCATATTAGCCTGTGCCTGTTTTGCCACAAAACTAGCTGCTTACTTATGTAAGTTAAAATTTTATTTAGAATAAATAACTGTCCACTAATTCAATATAAGACACTTTTTTCAGGTCTCTCATGGCTCTCACCTCTTAAACTCCCCAGGATCCTGTTGGGGTACTCGGTGGCTCACCAATAGTCACCAACCATCGATGACAAACAACCCTTATTCACGAGCCAGCCATGACGGCCTGCTGGCAAGTAAGGGTTGGTTGTGCGCTACTTTTAGATCAATATACGTCTTTCAAAGACAAAATCGTATCATAAAGTTCTTTTCTAGCCCACATTGGGAACACAATCAAACAGATCCCTCCTCTCCCCCCCCCCAAAAAAAAAATTATATCAAATTACAAGAAAAATAGTTGCTGAAACAACATCGTGGATGTTAAAAGTCTGCGCAACACCTCTTGAGTGTTTTTATGGACACTTCGGCTGTTGAAGTAACATCCTACTAGCTAAGTTGAATTAACAACCAAAGGCTTTCATATCAACATTCAAGAGTTGTCGTGCAGATTTTTAACAATCAGAGTGTTACCTCAGCACCTTTTCTTTCTGTGATGCTATTCATTTCCTCTTTTTTTTACGTTGATTCGCACTGCACGTAAGATTTACACCTTGCGCCTCATTTGGACGTAGAACACCGCATATGTCATAATTTGTATTATAAGGATGATAGGGGAGGTGAAGTGATGGAGACTACAAAAAATTTGATTGAAAGCTTTGAGTTCTGGCTTGTAAATTGTTGTTTGATGTTAACATCGAAATTCATTAAATAACCAATATCAACAACAGATTCACAGGTAAAGTTGCAAAAAGTTTGAGAACAAAATTTATGAGTTGAGCACCAAGAAATTCTTTGGAATGATGTGACAAATTTTTTGATCTCCGCATCTCTTATGAACCTTAATGTAATACTGTTAATTTTAAAGTTTGTATCATCAATAATGCCAGTGTCTCATGATTTTAAAGCAAGACTGACTTTGAATGCCACCAGCTAAAGAGAAGCTGTCACCTGAAGGTAATATCTCCACACCATGTATCTTAAACTCATCTAGTGCCTAGCAGCCTTCTGATGACATTTCCCCTCAAACCTAATTAATTCATGTCCCTCCCCAACATTATTGTGATTCATTATCAAAAGCTTCAAATTAATAGTTTTTTTTTTCCACTAGTCCTATTTCTCTTTAAGCACCTGGTGGTTTAATGTTTATGCCCTCTAAGCAAATATTCACTCTTAAAGCTTAACTTCCTTCCTTTTTTGTTTCAAGTTTTCAGATGGAGACATATCTTTTCCATAATCTTTGGAACAGCAGTTCTGTATTATTTTTTTGATTGGCTACTTTTCTTCATTATATCTCATGTTGTTGTCAGTTTTATCTACTTGGAATTTCTCATGAAATCAAATACCAAACGGAATGCTCATCTTCTCACTCTTTGCACTGTGATTTTTCTGATAAGTTGGTAAGTACGGAGTAGAATTTCTTTAAATCGTTTGAGCAGTGCTTTAACTGCATCAGCATTACCATATTTGAAGGCAGGATGTGTGCAGGGCTGGATTCACTTTAATTTTTATCAAAAAAGAGGCATAAGTTGCCGACCTCTAGGTAGCATCAGAAAATAGTTCCGAGTTTACTGGCCCATCCTCAGTCTACCAACTATTAAGGTGAAATGATTGCCAGATTCTTCTGTTTTGGAATTGAGAATTCTTAAAAATTCAAATAGCTTTGAGTGTTGGGTTCATTTTATGGAAATCGCAAAATATGCCTTCATACAAAGAAATTCCCCCCATCTGTGACAACACATCAGCATCACCCTGTTGATAAGTACATATATACATGCTGCGAACCTGACCATTTTTCTGCAGACTTTTTTATCGAGTATGCAAACAGCCCCTTTCTTAGGGGCAGCCTGCCAAGAATGGTATTTTTTCTTCTCGTATCTCACGAAACTTTGCCACCCTGCAAAATTTGCTGCCATGTGCCCCCATACACAATGGCCATATGCAAATCAAGGCTTAAGTGTGTGCGACAATCTTCTCACTCACTCACATATTCCTCAGTTTCTCAACCTTTGAATCTCTAATAGAGACAGGACACTTGACAGCTAACTGTTGTATCTGTTTCTCATGTTACGTTAGTGCCAGGTAAATGTGCAAGAGAGAAAGAAAATTTCAGCGCACACGCCTGCTGTAAAGGATTATGAAATTCAGATTCCCTGAAGTCAATTCTCTATTCACACCCATAGTTCCTGACCTTATCTAACATGAAATAACAAAGAGAAAAGCCTGTTCTGGGTGGTCTGAATGACCCTGCAAACATAGTAATTACTTACTGCTGAAACTTTGTCAAAGTTTACTGCCTGAATAGCTCAGTGCAACCGAAATATTTATATACCTCTACAATTTTCTGCAGTAAAAAAGCAATTTTTCACGATATAATCACAACACTTTTATATAATTTGGTCAATAAATGTCAATTTTAAATGACCAATAATATGAAGTCCATGTGTCAGGAAGGTAGCCAGAATTCCATGCCAAAAAAATTACAACTTATTTCAGTTTATTACAATAAAATTTCACTAAAAGGAGCTCTTTCAATCAGTGAATAGACAACATACAAAACACCGTGGCACAATAGCAATAATTTTACCGTGCAATTGCAATCTGTGCTGCTTCTCCCATTCCTTGATTCGTGGCACTTGTCTTTAAGGTGAATCCAGGCTTGGAACTTCGCGATTTGGCCACCACGTCGCGCTGCTCAGAATAGCCCCCTATATTTGCCAAAATAATAAAAACCGTAATACTTATTCAAGATTGGAGATCCAGGGGATATGGCAACATAAGAACACTCAGTAAAAAAATCTTCTCAAAATTCCCAAAAATAAAGTCTTAACTACGGCAGAAAGTAATTCCCATTGCGGCAATGGGAGAGAGAGAGACAGAACATGAGGGATGCCGTTGCGTGCTCGGCCGCCGCCTCTGAGCTGAAAGTTTCAGCCGTACTTTCCCTGCGCTTGTAATTCTAATTGCGAATATTTTTGGCTCAAAAAATCAAGCAAAAATTAATCTATATCCTGTGGATCTGCTTTTTGTAGTTCGAGGAACATTATTTCAGTAATCGTCGAAGGGAAGTGAAATTCTCAATGGTGCCTGGTGGCGCTATCTCTAATCTTGAATTATCCCTAATCGGACCCTGGATTCACCTTAATAGGAAGCGTTGATCCGTAGACTTGCTGAACAGGACTTCTGCCAATTCTTCAGATAGAGTGATACTGTTTGTAACACATGTTATTTATTTTGTTTCATGATTCCTCATAAGTAATGATTTGTTGCTTGTTTCAACTAATTTTTACAGTGAGTTTCTGATGAAATCTACCCTTTGGCAAAAAATCCGAGGCCCCCACATGCTCATTGCCATGAAAACAATTTCTCTAGTGTATGATCACAGCTCGTCCTCACAAAAAGCTCTGCCGGGAATTCAGGAATATCTTGGATACACTCTATCTCCAGGTTCTAGTGTCTTCGGACCTTGGATATCTTACAAAGATTATTTGGTCTTTTTCGAAGTCAATTATTTTGTGAGTGAATGATTCCTCTCTTTCCTAATCATTTCATAAAAATTTTTTCTCATCTAAATAATTGGAATTCATTTATTATACCTTTTAACAAACAAGAATTGTTTGCAGTAGGGGTACAAGAAGTTCTTAGCCTTCCCAGTTTTATAATTTGTCCGTTGTCCGAGCAACATAACCAACCAATCATATAGCTTCATTTTATCTTAGTCTGGTCTTGTTCAGCAGACAAACACATTATTTCGATAATATGTTGGTAGGATTACTTAAATAAGTCGATATTATCAAGAGTTTTATCCTCATCTTAGGAATACTTCTGTAAGCAAGTGATCACTTCAAGAGAAAAAATGTTTCTGTCTCTACTGAAGTCTCTAAGTAACTTTAAAATCAATGCAAATATTTTTTTATTTTTTTCAGAATTGCTTTTGCACTGAGCTTCACGAAAACCATACATAATGCAAAGCTGAAAATCTTCTGTTAATTTTTCCTCCTTTTTTTTCCCTTTTTTTATAGAATACAAATATGTTACAAATGTATTAATAACTTATCAGATTTATACTGTATGTACACAAAGATCATCAATTGTTCATTAATGGGAATTCATTTACAAGAAAGAATATTATTTTTAAATCGAACGACAGGAGTTATTGAAAACTTAATCTCGGTTTAAAAGTTTCACTTATGTGTGAATTGTGTCACGCTAAAAGTGAATAACCTTGAATTATTAAATGGACCACTTGACAGGATGAACTGCCAGATGTTTTCTCATAAACATTTTATGCAGAATATGTTTAATTATAAGAATATGTAATGATCAAAAAATCAGTGTCTATTAGTTCTCAGTAAAATTAGCAAATTCAAACCGCCCACTCCCAGAAAAACTAAAATCGTCATAGACAACACATCAACATTGGCCTTTAAAAGCAAACATATATTTCAGAAAAACTTGATGTTATATACCGCAGCATTTTCCTTCTTTTTCTGATACCCATTATTTATAAGATTGTCAGGAAAAATTCTGCACACTGAGAAAATTATCCCAAATTAATTCAGTTCTTTTATGTGTTTTCTTATTTCAGTCTTGGAAGTGGTGCGAGAAAATTCTTGAAAGGTCTTTTATCTCTCTGATCCACCTCCTTTTCTCAGCGTGTTGGTTTGATCTACTCTTACCCGTTCATTGGCATCAGTAAGTTTTGCATCTCTTAATTCATCAGGTTTTTTCTCCTGTAACAACTTTTGAGCTTATTCGTTTCAATCAGTGAGAGAAAAAAGTGTGTCCAAACATTATACAGAGTCACCTCTTAATTTTGCATGGAATTTCACAGATTTTTAACTTCTCCACCCTCTCAGCAGCTATAAAGTATCATACTGTTGGATATATCAACATCATTCACATGACTGAATAAAGTATAATTTCAAGCTTTTCAGTACTTAAGTATTCTTAGAAAGACAAAAAAGTATCATTCAGTCATCAAATACATTTAAGATAAATCTTGACGCAAAGACAAAATACAAAGCACCATTGTGTAAAAGATGGACGGGTAAGAGAAGCTACATTGCTCCTTTGTGAGTGTGTAATTGAGTACAAAACTGGAGCAAAGTATCTTTATAATTCAAATTATTTGTAGTATTCAAATCAAGCTTCAAGATCTATTCAATCGGGTTCCTGCTGTCACACAAATGCAATGCCGGATTACGTATCCAGGTTTTTTCTATCAAATTCAATCTGCTAAGACACAAAAGAGAGCTGTATTTTAGGCACCTTTAAAAAAAGTAATTGCCTTCGTGTACCTTAGAAGTACGTATTATGAATTGCTCACTGATGGCCATAATTCGGCCGCAATGATCATTGCATGAGAGAAAATCATTAAAGAAAAAATCGGAAAGAAATGGTAAAAATTAAAATTTGAACCAATTCATAGTAACCCTTGGAATCGGGCATTGTTCTCAAAATTATTTTTTATTTCCTCTTGTTATTCTTTTGCAAGCTCATTTGTTTTCGTTCTCCTTGCAGTTGGGTTTTCCTTTATCGTAGAGCGATCACCATACGATTTAGTCATTATTTCATCTCGTCTCTCTCGGAAGCAGCAAACATGCTTGCTGGAGGTCGAATAGAAACTAGAGTTACCTCGCCTTTAGAAATAGAATTACCGTATTCAATGATGCAGGTTGTGAAGCATTGGAACATACCCATGCATAGATGGTTGAAACAATGTAAGTTACCCTATCAGTTTCATTGATTTTCTCTTTCTTAGCAGGATCAGCATGAATTCCATTTTTTAATGAGTCGTTTAAGAAATTTCATTTAATTTGTAGACAAAAGTGGATTTATTTTCAGAGTTTTTACCCAAAAAAAGGACTGTGCAATTTTATTCTGAAGGTTCATTCAGAGCTTGTATTTGTATTGTCGTAAATTCCCCTCTTTGAAAAGTTTTTATTTTCAAGTGTAAAGATTTTTTGTACGCTGTTATTGAAGGTGAAAAGCGTAGTACAAGTAAGTTGACAAAAAAGCAGCAATAAACCAATAGTACTTCATCATAGATAAAACTGATAGTACTGAAACAAATAACTCATCAGCCCTCACGTAGAAAATCTGACTTCATTTGAATCATATAGCAATATCCCCTATTAGGTATAAAAAATAGGGTGGATTCAAAATGTTGCTACAGCTTGCTGGAGGATTGTTTTTGATGTAAGAGTTTTGGCGAGGTTTCACGGTCAAATACCACAACAAACGCCATCATGATAGGGCTTTCCTCCATCAATTCAGCTGCGCCGACAAATAATTACGTCATGGACCAGCTGTTGACGGGTAGGTGATGTTGTTCCCATGCTGTCCAGCGTTTAATCAATAAGCTCAGAATTGTAATTACCATAGTCAATATCTTAGAAAACAGCATTTCAGATATTAGGGAGATTAAAAAGTGTTTTTCGCCTCAGAAATTCGTACATGCAAGAACAATTTGGAGTGTAGTGCTCGATTAGGAAAAGAATATAGGAAGGATAAGAGAATGTCTTCTTACAACTTTTTAATTTAGGCCTTTTTAAATGCATTATTACATTACTATGCTCATAAATGCCTAATACTTACTTTTTTGGAGGGAATAGTGTGAAGGTTTTAATTGACATTAAATATGCCTGAAGCTCATTTTTAAATACAAAACGCTGTACCAACAGTTGAAAATTATTGTGGGAGCTTCAGTGTCTTAGAATGTTTATTATGTGTTCAATCATAAAGTAAAACCATCATTTTTAACTGTTTTCAGATGTTTTCCGCGTCTCGCAAGAATTTGGCTCATTCTTTGCTGTCCTTGCAACTTATGTAGTTAGTGCCTCCTTGCATGGATTCAACTTTCGTTTGGCTGGGATTCTGATCTCTTTAGGATTTTATTCGTATGTTGAATATATTTTTAGAAAAAAATTATCTATCAAGTGGAATGCTTGCATTTCAGCTAAACCGTGTCCAACATACTGTGAAAAGCATGAGCATACCGAGCGAAAAATTGCGGTCAAATTTTTCAATACTCTGTTTACCTTTCTCAACATTTTCCATTTAGTGTACCTAGGAATTCTTCTAGATTTCAACACTGATAAAGAACAATATAACTCAATGGAAACTTTCAATGACTGGAAAGATCTAAACTACATCAGTCATGGTGTAGCGTTGGGTATGTTTTTTCTCCATACCCTAATTCGAGCATTGTGAAATTCACAATATAAAGTGGATACATCAAATACTTAATTATGACGATTCATTCGCAATCATTCGTGAACCATCAAATTCTTTCTTGCTTGGAATGCTACCTGTAGTGCCACTGTTTGGTGGACCGCAAAATATTAAGTAGAAGGAGGGCTATGACTACTCTGGAGGTTAGGACTCAGATAGGCTGTTACAAAAGGTCGCCTGTCCTCAGCTTAGCATTGAAAGTATGTAAATGCAAGAATTACGATACCGGATTATCTGTCGCAGTTTAAAAATGCATAAACTTGTCAGGTATGGACTCTGTGCTTTTCTAAAAAAATTTAAACCTTACATTACTTCTGACTTTAATCAGCAATTGAGTTATGAGTGTTATTCGATAAAAACATTTTGTGCGATAAAAAATCCTAAATTTTAAGATGATATTTTTTAGGTGTTATAAGTTCAATTAAGAAGTAATACAAGAAAATAAAAATAGTGTTAAAAGTGACTGACTCAATCACTCTTTCTCTGACAATCTAAGTTAAAATAATAGTGGGTGTATTGTATTGACCCAATCAGGGTTAGTTCTTGAATTTTTAGGAATTTAAAGGATGACTTATAAAGTGTGAGATGTTTTCTACTTATGGGATTTCACCAAACCGTGCCACTTTAATTTTTGTCTTGCATACATAAAATATTTGTCCATGTAACTTTTGTGGTAAATATGTTAGTATCTGCCACAAAAACTGTGTAACTCGTGTCAGATAAGTTAGCAATTCTTTACTTTTGACCGTTATATGACAGTCTTAGCAATATCCCCTCGGAGGGAGATATTGGTTCTTGGTATCTGCACACAATGGCAGCATAGCATCGTCTTTGCATGTGGTCATTCCTCGATCACTATCAGATGGCTGCAGCGCAGTTGCTTGCAAATGGAAAGTATACAACTGTTAACTCGTCTGTCGCAAGCTCCAGTACCTATTTACCACAGTTTTGGTCACAATTCACCATCTATCATTTTAGAACCTTCTCAGGGATTGGAGAGATGAGCAATATTTTGCCTATAAATCAAGTAAGTAATTATTTTCAATGAAAATCTATAATAGAAAGGAAAACACTAGATTTTCTATGATGAAACACTGGCGACTAGCCTTTATCTTACTTACAAAACTGTTCGGTTCTCCAGAGTGTAAATATGATTAATTGTCATCTTGTCTCCATTGTTAATACTTTTTTAAGAGGCTTTAATATATAGTCCATTTTTGTTCTTTTTAATCTTGTGATATTAAATTAGGTTTTCTGTTGGTAAAAACTTTTCTACCAAACCAAATGTTTTCCATAAATTTCTTTATTTTTGCTCCTTTCAGTTTTAAGTAAATCTAGTTTTTACACAGTCAAATTTCTGAGGTATAATTCTCTCTTGTAGCTAAAATGTAATAAAGAACTTTTGTGAAGGAAAATAAATTTATTTCATTTTTTATCTCTCAAGTTAATTAAATGAAGGAGTCTTACACTTAAGTAATATGAAAAGAACAATGGCTCCACACATCATTTCTTAAGTTTGGCCCCTTCAGATTCCCCTGAATCATTACTGAAGGGTTTTGACTGATTTTAACCACATTACCACTGCTGGTAATGAGTTTATTTTCTTGATAGAATTTTAAATTCGCACCAGACAGAGAGAACATGAAGATAAATAGACTAAGTTTGTCTCAAGTGTCTTTTTGCTGCACATTTGGAAACACTTCTTCTATAACTATGTTGTATGAAAATCAATTAATGAGGAGAATTCAGGTGGCAGGTACGTTCAAGAAAGCCATCAGCCCAAAAATTACCTTTTGAGCAAACAGGCTTGGTAATTTTGGTCCTATTTTTCATTTATGCGATACTTAGGTACAAATCCTCATAGATATGGTGTCCTCAAAAAAATTCATCTCTTGTACTTAAGTACTTTTCTCGAAGTTTTAGTTTCCACAACTAGAAGTCACTTATCTGCAATAGAAGTAAGAGAAATAAAGTAGGATAAAGGCTTTCCAACATAGCACAACATTTAGTATGAGAGTGCATATTTTTAAACCTCACTTACAGAAAATTACCACATCAGACTTTAAAATTATAATGTACCTATACTAAAAAATTATCCATCATATATCAAGGGATGAGTGGCTGCATAGAATCTGACAAGTAGGTACCTGAAATCTAATGCGCCTCTTCTGCAGCTTTTTATCACTGTTTTGCCCCGGTTTTAAGTGAATATTGTCAATTTATCATCACAGTCTTCCGTGCTTTTTTTTTTTTTTTTTTTTTTTTTTTTTTTTTAGAATGTGAAGCGGATGAAGGTTTTAATTTGACCCAATTATATCCCTCCACTTCGGTAATTTCGTTTTGGCCAGACACTGTTTTTTTACCGCCAAAAAATTTGTATCCCGACTCTGCCGCCCTCTCTAAGTCAATGCCAGTGTGCCACATCTATATTTTTACAAATTTTCCGATGATCATTTTTCACAGCCATGTCTTTGAAACCCTTTTTTCAAGATATCAATCAAATATCATCTTTTTTTAAAAGATCGTTTTTCGGATAAAATGTGGTCGCTCACATGTTTCAAAAAGTTGCTTACCTGATCCAGTTCAATTTTGCAGGGAACCGGCAACATTGCCGTGTTTGTTATTGTCTGAGCTATATACATAACCTAACAATGTTTTTCTTTTCCCTGTTTCCTCTTCATCAGTCTGTTGCTGATTCTAGTGTTTCACTTAACGCCGATCGACTCAAATCATTTTCGGGTACACAATTTCTTCAGCAGAATAATTTGCTGACCTCAGGATTACATAGTCTAGTCAGCCGATCGCAATACGTTGCGATCTTTAATTTGTAATCAAATGTACGCCGTCAGTCCTCATTCTTGCGTTTACTTTTAGTCACGCAGATTTTTTCTAGATTCTTCGTATCCTAAACCCCTACTATGAGCACCTCGCTACTAGTCGTTGTTTAGTACCCATTTTGCAGATTTTGAGTGTTCTATCAAGTTTGCAATTCTGTACCGAAGCTTGCGAGCATGTCCTCCAGCACGGAAGCCGTTCCTGATGAAAGAAATAAATTGGTGAGTTGTCTCCAAAGATTCTCATAATATTTCATAACTACATGCCTGTCATTATTACAATTGGACATATTTCTACCAAACAGACCTATGTGCCGGTGAGAAATATGGGGTGTGCTTGTTGAAGCTGCATAAGAAACAATGTATAAGAGGGCGTGATTCCTTTTGAAGAATTAGAAAAGCGGGATATTACATTCTATCAAACAGACCTATGTGCCAACTGAATGCGGCAGTCATGAGCCGCGGGCATGGCAAGAGAGCCTTGTGCACAGGGCTCATGAGTTAAAGACTCCCTCCAACGATCTCCCCGTTGCATTGTTACTCCACATTGCATACTCCCCCGTTCATTGCCGCTGACGTCACTGGCGCTTTATTATTCTCATTCACTCTTACGCAAAGAGAACTAACGAGCACACCCCATATTTCTCACCTCTACATAGGTCTGTTTGGTAGAAATACGTCCAATTATATTCAGGATAAATGCTGAAACAAGGGATTTCAGAATTGTGCCAAAATTGTCGGAATTAAAAAAAAAAAGTGTTGGGTCGGGCCCTTATTTGCGATTTTTTACCGTGGAATATTTTGACTGTCACAAATTCATTTTATTTCAGATTGACACAGCAGTGCTGTTTTTAAGAGGACCACAAGTACAACAAACACCCCTGGAGCTTAGAAAGCAGTTCCTGAAAAAGAAAGGACTGACTGACAATGAAATTGCCATAGCGTGTGATAAAGCTGGGATTAATACGTTTACACAGCTTGTAAGTTTCTTTAATTTAAACTTAGTTAATAGTCTTAGTCAATAGGCTTAGTTTAATTTAAACATGATGGGATTTCATGAGAGCCCAAGATATTTCCAAACGACTGAAATTCCATGTATCGACGGCGGAAGTGCGAAACCACGTGTACCTAAGTTTGCGGCGTAACAGACTTTCAGTCATACTTTATTTTTTCTTTGAAGAACTAAGTAGTTAACGTATCTAGTTTATTGGAAGCTGCCTTGATTTTTGTTCTTTTGCAAAATATTTATTATAAATTTCAAGTTTTAAAGATGGCTTGTAGCTCTTTAAAAAAATAAAATTTGAGCAGAAATTCCAAAACACCGCCAAGAAGACACATGTTTTTGCACTTTGGTCATCCATATCTCACTGAATCAAAACAAGTATTGATTATTTTTAATTTTCTGTGATATTGTTGAACGCAGAAGAATTATGCTCCTACCTGTCATCTTGTTGGTTCCTAGAATACCAACAAAAGAGAGGTAATGTCAATGATAGAGTCAGTAGGTCTAATAATCAGTACAGTTGGCAAGCATCTATTGCTCTTAAATCTTCAGTGTCTTTTGATGAGGAAACCATGAGACTACAGATAACTAGGAAACATGTAAGTGTTGCTCTACAAATTTTCCCAGATAAGCTTATATTAGGCCTGAAATTCAGGAATATGCTCCTAGGACAGTTCAGGAACAGGATGGTTCTCTCTTGGAACTTTAAAGGCAGTAATCCGTCTTCTCAAGGAGTAACCATGAACATCTGAAGTCAAAAGTTTGACCTTACTGCTTAAATCGTTACTGTTGTTAACTTTTCAAGGATGACATGTCCCACGATATTTCATATGATTTTTCTTTGCCCTTGCCAAAGTATATTCTTTGAAAATCTCATGTAAACTTTTCCATCAGTATTCTTTAACAAAAATGAAGGAGAAGCAAACATTTTGACAAACTGTGATCAAAACAAGTGTTTTTGTTGCTTTATGGTTTATTTGTCTATCAGAGAGGGCTTGTATAAGCTAACACTCAGTAGCCAATATTTTCTTCCTATAAATATTCGACTTCATTCATCCAATAGGAGTAAAATGGAGTCATTTTAAACCTTATAAACACGACCGATTTGTATCTTATTCTCTATTTTTTTGCAGGACTCAACTGGACACAATCATGTTTCACTGTCTGTTAATCACCAAATTGCTAGACCTGCAGAAACAACCACCAGTTGGATCCAATTATTCAAAGACATTTCATACACTGTTGGTTTTATCAGTGGAATTTTCTATGCTCTATACCTCTTTTACAAGGTGAAGATCCTAATTTTGATTCTTAGAACTGCACTTTTTGGCTCATCCACATAAGCACCTATCTGCCCAAGAACACTAATGGCATTTACGTTGTTTCTGAAATGAGTCGGAAATAGTAATACTTTTTTGCATCCCAGCAATGTACCCAGAATTCGTTGTGCCGACTCCCAGTCCTAACAGACTGAGTTTATTTTCCATTATGAGTTTCATTATTTGTCAATTAATACAAAATAAAACTCTAAATGAGATAGAATTTTGAATTTTATCACCCTCATTAAATGATCTTTAACCGTCTCTTTTCCAGAAATTTATTCGACCTTGGCTTTTCAATGTGGACAGCCCAAAAAGCATCGAAGCCACTGTTAGTGACATAGAAGGATTAACCAAAGATTTAAAGAGTGAAGTTCACCAGTTTCAAGAGGAACTTGAGAAAATTTCCGACCACCAGAGCAGTATGAAAAAAACGCTTACCTTTCAAATTGCCGAACTTAAGTCTGAGATAGCTTCTTTAAAAGGCCTCATGGTTAACAGGTAAGACACACTCTTTTCTTGGTAAAGCATTCCATGTTTTGCCAATTAACTGTTTAACGCCCCCATTTGAAGTGCGCACATTTAGGCGCTCAAGTCATTGCCGCCAGTAGATTTTCAGAGTGTCTACAAGTTCGGAATTGCCAGAAAGTTTACTGTTTGCTTTTCTACCTTTTCTTCATTTTTGGGGAATTATTCAAGAAGGCAAAAGGCAGTACTAAAAATTGACCATCATTTTAATACACCCTAATAAGAGATTGTTTAAGTAACAAGGCAAAAATAAAAGTCATGACAAGACAGAAAAAGGTCGATTCACATATTTTAAGGATCCAAATGTCGATTTTACCACAAAAAAAAAGAAGAAAAAATTTGGGTCCTATAACCCAATTTTTACCGTTACCATAATTTTTTTCAGACCATACCCAATCCTGTCTAAACAGTAAACCAACTTCAAATCCGTTTGCCTCAGAAAGAGACCCGGTCCTTCAGGAGGTGTATCAAGGATGTCATCATGTATCCTGTCTTATTTGATGACTTGTATTTTCTCTAAGCATCAGATTCAAAGTGCACCTAAAAATCAGGCTTTTGGACCTACACAAAAAGGAAGGCAAGAAAAAAATTTGTAGAATCTAAAATTTTGATTACTGTCGGTCCCTTTTGGTTATAAGGAGGGCTATTCTTGGCCCTTGATTTTTCCTATTTCCTAATTTTGTGGCGTGAAAGAGCTTTTAAATAAATGAATGGTAACTATCCTGCTATTTTGTTATATTTTTTCCAGGAGACAATTCCCCTCTACACCAGCTCTGTCTGCTCCTGTTTCTATACCATCCTGGCAGCTTGGTGAAGAGGGCAATGAAGAAGGTGGAAATGGATCAAACTCGGGAGCAAGTGATGCAGAAGCCTCTAATAACAACGGCAGCGATAGCAGTCTTGAAATGATCCGTTCTTGTCATGACAATGCCAATGAAAATGACCATAATTAATTAAACTGGTGATACCTATCCTATGGCACTTGCCATAAAGGCACAGTCAAGTGAGGAAGAAGGCTATGGCTTTTGAAGCACCTTACTACCCAAAAAAGGTCATATTCTACGATTTCTAGAAATTTTACCTTTGAACATACCCCTACTAGTTGCTTGATACACTATACTCCTTTTCTCTACGAAAATTGTCCGGCTGTGGCCTTTGCTTCGTTTGATTCTGCCGTGCTAAGGAAGAACGCCGCATGAACCATGACATTGAAACCAAGATAATAGCGTTCCAAGTCTATTGCATGCCCTTCCTCAGGATTTACAATTTTTAAGTTCGCGTTTAGTCTTAGCAACCGTTGAATCCCTCGGCTGCTTATTCTGGTTCAGCTCTCTTATTGAAACAGAATGATTTCTGTCAAAATCACCAAAAATTGAGGACAAGTTGTGTTTACGGTAAACGACCTCCCATGTTGAGTCTTTATTTCTCTATTGCATGGGGAAAACGTCATGAGTGGCATGTGCGGTCTGAGTTTCCTGGATCTCAACTGTTACAGCCCACGCATTTGTTAGCTTGCCCAACGAGCATTCTCTATACATAGGGAGAACCAGCAGAAGCACACCTTTTCTGGCTTCATCATCAAAAAAAGCATTTCGTGAAAACTCATGTCTAATTCCCCCCCCCTCCCATAATTTTTTAGCTCATGCAACGCTCTTCCATAGCATGGCAGAATTGAATTTCTGATTTCAGCACTGTCATGTTTCTCTTCATTATTTTCTGGTTTTGGGTGAAGGATTTGAACTAGGCATTTTTGAGTCTCATTTGAGAGTAAATTTGAGAGCCTGGAATTTTTGGGTAATGTTTCTCCATTTTTTCATCCAATCATTGTGTGCTGGTCAAGGAACTCTAATAAGATTAAGGATGAAAAAGGATGAACAAGTGGGCTAGGTTTGTATTAAAGAGAAAATAAAAAGAGCCACAAGTAATGAACTTGCAAAAAAAAGGAGGAGAGGGATTGGATATGCATTCTACCTGTGAAAAACTCGAATTTCCTATGTGTTGGGAAAAAAATCTGACAATAAGTCGTGAGCTAAAACGTTTTTGCGGAACAGATTGTAGGAGAGAATATTGCATTGAAGGAAAGCTTTTGAAGATTCAGTTAATGACTTCTTTCTTTGGATAAGCTTCTTTTATCTCCATTTCTATTTCTTGAATCTTTAAGGATGAAATGCACGGTGGACTAAACAAAACGATGTGCTGTCTGGTCTTTCAAGTACCTTGGTGCTATTTGCTGACAATGTTTCCATTTTAGAGAAAAACTATCAACTCTGGTGTGTCAAGTAAATAATTTTAGCATTTTCATTCATTCAAGATTATGAATTAAAGACATGATCTTTAGGGTGCAACTTATTTGTCCAAGGGGGAAATTGCACTCAAAATGAGTTTTTTCCCTCTGCAGCAAGAGTTCGGGCATAATGCAGAGGCATGATGTCACATTGGCTAATTGATCTATGGTCACAACCTGCATCTGTTGACGGGTGCCTCTGCGTTTTACTGCCTCTGTTCCTGACATTAATTTTCCTAAAAACAAAAAAGAAAAGAATCCGTGAGATAGGACCCTGCATACTCATAAAAATGTGTACTACAAGCGATTTTCCATTCTTTTATCACATTAAACCCATCTATAAATGCAGATCAAAAGTCATCATTGCACAAACTTTCTACGAGCTACCATTTTCGCACAATCCGTGGTTTAAGCTTCAATAATTCCTTGAATAAAAGGAGGCAGTGCAGTGATAAGGAGCCAACAAGGCCCCCTTCTTTAAAACTGGAGAACGTTCTAGATAAAAACAAGGAAAAACTCAGCTGGTTAGAGGTAAGGGAGAGAGAGAAACTGATTCGGATGGTCATGGGAAAAGGCATGGGGAATCCGAGATAACACTGCCTGGGGTTTTCCTGATTTCCTTGTTGACACAGAACCAATCGTACTCAAGTGCTGAGTGCTCAATGAGGGATGTCTTTGACTTGTCATCGCTGCTCTGCCTCCTTTTATTTAAGGAAATATTAAAACCACAACAGCGGATTGGTGCAATGATGACTTTTGAACAGCATCCATAGACGAGTTGAATGCGATAAAAAAAATGAGAAATCGATCGTGGTACACATTCCTATCAGGAGTGTGTGGGGTCCTTTGATTTTTCGAGGAAAGTAGTGCATGATGAGAAGACTAATGTCATTTTTTATTTCAGGAGTCTAAAACACTCGAAAGATCATGTATCGCATGCCTAACAAATTTTTCCCTGTTCTTGATAACAAGGTTTTTCCAGTCAAATGGCATAATCTGCCCATTTGCCACTATGAAGAGATAGGGATGGATGTGCCATGTGCTAGTGCTAAGATAATTTCCCATCCGAGGGGACATGAACATTTTCCATCAGGTGTCTGATGCAATGATGTATAATAATTTTTTTTCTCCTGAAGTATAAAATGGCCTTTTTTCCATTGTGCATTACCTACATTCTCAAAAATTGAAATTTCCATAAAAATATGTTTTATTTTTTAGTAGCTACGAAAGTTCATTTTTCCGGAAAATTGGTACATGGTGGAAAACAGTGTCATATTCATTAGCAAAAAGTCATTTGCAGTGCAGTGCAGTAGCTGCTTGGTAGAAAAAGTTCTCCATTGTTTTGGATTGGAAACAATCAGATCAGTTTTAAATGGTAATATGAGATGACGCCCTCTGACCGAGAAAACTCTTTGTCAGGAACAGAGGGAAAATTTGTTGGACCTTGGGCATGTGAACATTTAATGTATGTTTTCCTGTTTCTTTGGCTGCTGAATCCAAAAATGATTAATTTTCCTTTATTATGCTCAAACTCTCTAAGAAATTGCTGTAGGAGTAGAACCAAGGTTATTATTGGACTCGGCGTTGGGAAAAAGAAATTGTCTGCAGACCTGTGTAATCTAAAAAAAACTATACAGCGTTTAGTTTTTCTAAGTAATGTGAAAAAGAGGGAATACAGGCATTAACAGATCTATTACATTTCTATGTCTGTTTTATATTTATCAGTATCAAGCACTTAATCTTTGAAAATGGCAATTTTGATATCACAGTGTATCTGACACTCTAATGAAGAATCAAAATCCTGCTTTTCTTAAAAACCTGCCATCTGAAACTTGCTGTGTTTTTGTTTTTATTTGTCAGAGTTACTTATGGACTGACTTTCGTACTAACTGAGCTTTCCAGATTTTAAATTTAGAACATTTGTTTAGCTGTGGTATGCCTTCAAGGCTTTGTCCTGATGCTTGCACCTAATTCAGGAAAAAAATCGATGTTTCTGGCTGTGCTCAACATTTTTATACCTGTAATGTATTAGTCGTTATGCTGTACCGCTTAGGATGTAAACCAAGTCGTTATTGCTTGTTTTCATAAACTATCAGCAGCATCCGGAAAGTGAGACTGAAAAAATATTTTTTAAGTCAATTTTCAACTTGTTCTGTGAGGAATTTTTCAGAAAACGGGTGTAAAACAAAACACTGAATTTTGATAAAAAAAATAAAGAAACTCTTAAAAGTTAATGAAGTTTCCTACCTTTAAGATTAGGTTCAAGATTTTTTAAAGGAGTGTTTCCCTTTTGCTTGATTTTTTTCATTATTTAACCATCCATGGATAAAGGACCCCAGTGCCAATACATTCCAACTGAATTCATTGCTACTATTCTTAGAGGGGTGATTAGCAAATGTTTTGAAACAAAAGAGTGCCCCAAAATTTCAAATTCAATCAGAGTCTCTCTTGTTTTAAGTTTCCAGTTTCTATATAATACATGTTAAAAAAAGAAAAAAATTAGGTTTGAATTTCCCATGGTTGAAACTTAAATTGTCTTGTTAGAAGTAAGCTTTAAGCCCATAATCGATTCAAAAACGAACTGAAGCTCGGTTTACTCAAATACTTATTTTTTAGGGTGCTAAGAGCATTACACAATTTTCATTCTTAAATCCACATAACTTAACAAAAACCACTCGGATACGAATTTAGCACTGAAATTCTTCTCCCAATATTGTGGAACATTAATCTAGGTATCATGATCATTGGAAATTATTTTCTGAAAAATGTCTGCATTTTGTAAGCTGGTCGATTTGAAAACTAAAGGAATTTTCGTCTTATAGGACTAGGGAACATTAAAAAATTCAGAATATTTTCTCTTTAAAATCTGTTGATATTTTGGAGAAGGAAATATGAGGCATCTTGAAGCTGAGAGAGCTATTTCCATTTTGCTGATGATCTACACAATGCTAGTATTCTTACGTAATCCAGGGCTTGTGAGTAATATGGACTTTGCCCCCTTTGCTTCAAGATGCCTCAATGCTTTCAAGGCGAAGCATGGACCTACCTACTTCCTGTCGCTTACACTTGGAACAACTTGATGACTTGCCATGGAAGCCTTTTTATTCATGGAATGGGAATGCCGTTTATTTTGTATTACATTTTTTTATTGAACCACGCACTGTTGCATGGCAACTAGAGAATAGTCGTAGGTACAAGGACTGGAGCACAATGTAAGGAGACTTTGAATTTTTGTTCATTTTAGGTTCCTTACTTGTTTGTCTCTTTTATTTTTTATTATTTTTAGTTGTTTAGTATATTGTTATGTGATTGTGATTAGTATGTTTTTCTGTTGGTTTCTTTTCTTATTTTATTGCACTGGGCTTTGCCTGAAAAAAATTTGGAATAAAAAACAAAAAATAAATTTTAGTTTAGTTCTCATTTTCATGTGATGAAATGGACCGAAACTTTTGAATTCTGTGTTTTCAGGGATGCAGGAAGTTGGCCTTCCCTTGTCCCTTCTTCCTCAGAAATTTCAAAAATGTAACTTTTTAACGGCTCTGTACATATCAATCGCCGGCGATTTTGCGAAAAACACTTAATTTTCACCACTGCATTGCAAAAAAAAAAAAAAAAAAAAAAAAAAAAAAAAAAAAAAACGCAATTGGTCCGGCTTTTGCTGTTGTTGGAACATTTCGAAAAGAGCAAATGAGGATGAAAGATAAAACCAAAAAACATGAAACTTTTGTGTCGAGAGTATCAAAAATTATTCAGTGTTGCTTATCAAAATCTGTAGCAAATAAAACTGCGTTAAAATGTTCCAAGAAATTGATGAATGGGTAAGTTCTTAATTTCTCTCGGAGAACTCAAGATTAATATTAAAAGTGAACTATCAAGCTAGTTTTCAATGTACACAAGCAACACTGATCCAAGACAACATGTTGCCGAAGAGACTATACCATCTGTTTTACCGTGTCAACCAAGGTTGAATTTTAAAATTCTCTGTGGCAGGAAAAATTTTCAACATATAATTTGAGGGGTTAATATGTAGATGCCTTATCTATGAGCTTTTCCAATGAAGCCATTGCAGCCAAATCTTACGAAGAGAGGGAGCAAAATTAATTAATTATTTGGTGGGCAAAACTCCCTAACATACCATGCCTTTGAATCAAGCGAAATTGTCCCCTGAATAGAACAAAGTTCAGATGCAGAAGGAGTCATTGACGACCGCCTTCCCTTTTTAATTGGCGGTCTTGACCTTTCTTGCGTGCTAGGGTGATAATAGTCTCTTGTTTAAGCTTGCATCTTACTAAACTGACCTTGGACGTTTGCAGTTAGGTAAAGAGAAAGTTAGGAGAAAACAATTACATATTAAAATAGAAAATTTTATTAAAACGCAACAAAATTGTAACAAATGAGCTAAAAATGAAATAAATTTTTCAGAAACAGAAGAAGAACTATCACCACTTGTTTCCTATCAAAGTAACAAATAATCTCAAAGATCATATTAGAGGTAGTAAATAACTTATGAGATACATTTTTTTTAAAATCCTGAACTGCCGTACAATGTATTCAGTCTTAAGGAATTAAACTGGTTATACCTTACTTGCTAGTTCAGACTTGTATTCAGATTTGTACTTCAGCTTTTCCTTCACAATCAAATCAGATTCTGAAAAATATAGATATTGGTTGATACCAATTTAGGATTTTGTAGAGCTAGGGGCATTTAGATGACAAGCGAGTTGCGCGGTATATTTGAACAAGCGTTGAATATGGACCTTGTGCTAGCACAATGAGTGTCTTGTCAAACTCATGTTGGCTCTTGTTTATCAGTTTTAGCTGCAATGCTGCATAGAATTCTTTGCAGCCTCAAAAAGACACATCAGAAGTAGGTTTCTGAGAAAGCAATCCAAATAAATATCAGCAGTGAAACTTCCCAACCCTGCATCTAGTTTGCAATGTTGACATACTTATTATTTTCAAGGAGAACAAATTAGCCCTCCTCATCGCTCCTCGTAGTTTTTTTGAAATTTGTCTCACGCAAAGAAGAAAAATTTTGGAAGTTTTCAAGAATTGACGTAGAGTTCTTTATTTAAAAAATAAAGTATGACAGGAAGTCCGCAACATCGCAAACTGAGCTGCATGGCTTAGGAGTTTTACCGCAGATATATTAGAGAACTTCCAGCAAAAAGACAATGCTCAAACTCAGGAGTACAATCCACCAGATATGGGAATAGCCGTTCCAGTCATATAGGAGCTCTTATCCGATGCCAGAAAGAGGATCAGCTCAGCAATTTCTAGAAAAAACAAGCAAAAAAATTAGGGTAATGTACCACTGGCCTCGTTAAATGATAAGATGAAGAAGAGAGGGGGGGGGGATCTTTTGCTTTAAGGTGTCGATGGACCACTCGACAAAGTAAAAAATCAAGCATCACATTGGAGGTGTTACTAAGTACAAATACACAATTTCTTTTATTAAAACTTTATGTAGAATATTACGGATACATGGACCATTTGCAAAGACATCTCATAAGTAAGTAAGAAATAGCGTTTGTTCCTCTTATTATCAATTTCACTTTCAGCTTGTGAAAAACTCAAGTATACTTGAATCAAACCGGTCTCAAAATTAATTGCCGAAATTGTGTAGTAAAATGAAAAGTTTAGAGAGTTTAATTTCCTTTCCACAATTTTTTTGAATACGAGTGTAACGAGGTTCAGAAAAAGTGCTCTCTGCACTCAACCGAAATGAATAATTCGAGAATGACTTAGGTAAGTGCCGGTTACTGTAGAGAACGACATGGCAGTTAACGTTTTCATATATTCTGCATGAAATTTTGAAAAGAAACCATACTAGGTAGTTGAGTCCCGATGAATCATTCTCTTGTTTCATCAGGATGGCAAGAAATTAAAAAAAGCTCAACAAAGAAATCTGATCAGGGAAAGCCCTACCTCAAAATACTTGGTAGTACGTCAGTGCTAGAAACCCTTCCTATTACTCCATTCAAAGCTTCCCATCTAAGAGTTCTAGATTTATTTCTTGAAATCTAAAGCTCAGATGTTATTTTCTGTGGGAGCTAAAGATACAGACCCCAGCCAGTCTTTAAAGCAAGAGAGAACTGATGCTCGATATCAGTGGCAACTTCATCACCTCCGCTGGCCATCTGGCAGCGCCTGTCTTCCAAATCGCAGCTCTTGCTTTCTCTTCAACTTTTCTTCAGATGTATTGTGTTGGAAATTGTATCAGAAAAGTATGTAAGTTACTCTTGACCTTCAAGTATATGAATGCAAGTGAAACATAAAACAAATAATTATTCATTACCTTCCGGAGCAGCCATTCTTCGCAGGGGAATCTGGGCTAAAATTAAGGCTTTTACTTTCTCCGGAACTGCCTGAACCATTGGCGTGTCAGTGAAACCAGGCATTACAGCATTGCATCTTATATTATACCTGAGAACAGTAAAAAGTGATGAGTTAAAAGTTGAAATTAATGGGAGTTACGAAAGCCAGTTTTGAACCTTAAGTACATCATTTAACATCATTTGGTTGAAATGATGCCTTGGCATAAGGTGTGAACAATATGAAGCTTGGCATCTTCCATTGGCTGAATGACAAATGCATGCTTTTGGATGGTTTTACTTTATCAATTTGATAATACTTTTTTAAGTAATGAAGATTTTGGAAGGTTTTTGAAGGTATTGAAAGTACTTTTTTAAGGTCGCAGTCAGTCATAAGTCACCTCCATCTCCTTGTTGGTGGAATATTTCGAAGTTTATAGGAATTAATAGGAAAGAATATGCCGATTGATTAAAGATTCCTCTAAGAGACATTCTTTTAGGAGAGATTAATGTACAGGCATTAAAATTAATTTTAAATGTTCATTGGGTCATGAATCTCCAGAAGTGTTTCCCAATAGTTGCATTCAAAAATAGTAGATACTCAATGTTGAAGATTCCAATATTTTGAAGTTTAAGTGGGGCAATAATTCAAACAACAAACTTAGTAATTTATAATTTTATGAAAAGGTGCCCGAGCCATTATTCTAAGCCAACACCACAACGAAAACAGAGTTTCTTCAGTGACAGCAAACAAAGTCCATATAGTACCGTTGAGATTCAATTGCCATGCATCTCTTTTTATTTTGTGTACACTTCAAATAACTCAATGGGGGTAATCCTGCACTTTCTGTTGTAATCCCATCGCCTTAGTATCTAGATATGGACCAACCTTAGGCAACCATCATTTAAGACCATCAAACTCCAGTCACCTGGCTGGGAATGGAATCGGGACCCTCCTGATTTTAGAGCCAGCGCTCCAACCACTACCCCATAGGAGGCCCAATTGTACCACCGAGTTTAAAAAGTTCATTCATAAAGGACTCACTTCGCAGCAAGACAAATGAGACTTACTTGGCCATTTCCAGTGCCAGACTTTTTGTGAACCCTACAACTCCTGCCTTACTTGCACCGTAAGAGCACTGCCCTACATTCCCCATGGTTGCAACAATACTCGACACATTGACAATTGATCCTGGTGATTTAGCCTCCATGAGGGCTTTGCACGCATTTTGAGCAACGGAAAACGTCCCCTAGTTATGAGCAGAACATTAATTTGGGTATTCATTAAAAAGTACTTATGCTATTTTTTTTATTTACTATCTTAAATGTCCTGATTTTTCAGGTTGATATAAAACTTATTTCTGATTTATAATTTAAAGGACTTACTTAAGAGACCATATTTTCCAACATTTTAAGGGCAAGACCCTTTAAGTCCTGGCCTGAAACAGAGAACTGTGACTCGACTGACCAAGGAGAGGTGCCTCAGTCTATTTTTATGAAAAGGCAAAAGAGGCTAGTAAGAACTAGAAGGAATAGCTGGCTTTTCATCGATGAGTAACAGATAATCTTAGAATATTACACCCATGTCCTACCAAATTTGCAATTTTGGAGAGTTTTGTACCAGCAGTCTTTAAAATTCCTTTAGTTGTGCTAGGTACTGTCATTTATAAGTCATTGTGCCAAGAGATTAACATTGAATTTAAGAATTGACAGAAATACCTTACACAAATTTATTAAAATGAATTACCTGACTGAAAACTTGCAAAAGTGTGAAGGGCATTTTTACATAAAGGTCACACAAGAAGCTTTCTTACTTTGTTCGTTTACGTTGAGAATATTTAAAAAGTCCTTTCTTAAATGGTACAGATTTTTTAACAAAAATAAAGTGTTAAAAAATAGTCATTGCTTTTGGGATTCAATTTTTTTGGTCAAATTAAAGACATGCAAGCTTATCAAAATGGATATTTTTCGGCAAAAAGAACCAAACATTTTTAGTTTACTTCTGAGAGGATATTTTTGCTGTTGATTTTCTGCTGGTTTGGTGTTACTATAAATGGTCCGTTTTCAAATAGATTGTGTCTAAATGTGATAATTCCATCTATACTAAGTAAAAGTTCATAGTAAATTATCTTACCCCTAGATTTACATCAACAACCCTCTGAAAAACGTCTTTTGTTGCATCCACTAAAAATGAATCTCCGGTTATTCCTGCACAATTTATTATTATCGATGGAACCTTTGACTGAGCCTTTAAATTGCTAAAAATGCTTTGAACTTGTTCATCCTTTGACACATCCAATCCCATTGAAACATGATTTGTTCCTGAAAAAGAAATTCAATTAAATTAATCCTTAGAAAATCCATATCCAAATAAATAAAGTAACAAACATGCAAACAAGATCCATTTTGATGATGAAACTACCAGACTACGTATCTTGTTAAGAGGTATTTGAAAATCTTCTACCTATCCCATTATATTTTTGGAGGGGATACAGATCGATATCATTTCTTGAAGTTTTCACAGAGTTTTTTTTGCAAAGCAAAGAAAAATCACAGAAGTCTTCAAGTATTAATGTTCAGTAGTTTCCCATTTAAATAATAGAATGACAGAAAGTCTAAAGGTAATGCTGCCAACCTAGACTCTTGCAGTCTGGTACCTACACCATTGATTTCTCATTTCCCATACTTAATTTTTTTACAAAACAATGACCAGTTTATTTCTGTTTGACGCTAATTTTAGAAACTAAACTGTGAATTTGTGTTATTACTTCCATTCCATTTTCCTAGGTTTGCAACATCCAACACAAGTATTTCTTAAAAGGCGGTGCACAGTTTCATTAATTTAAAATTTACTGATTTCACATTGCCTGTTCGCTGTTACTCCTCGCCTGTTAAGTGAAGTAAAATAAGCGAAATTTGAATTTGACCTCAAATCTTTTACCTACCTGGGAGAGATTTCACAGTTGCTTCTGCTGCAGAGCTTTTGAGGTCCGTTGCAATGACTGTTGCTCCTTCTTTGGCCAGCAGCTGACAAGAAGCTCTTCCAATCCCACTACCAGCTCCTAAAAAAAATGACAGGCGTAAAAGTATATTGGATTACGGTAAATTTTTTTCACAAAGACTGATGCTAACAGCAGGAAGAAAAGTTGCATTGATTGATAAACTATGACTTCATGACCCATCAACATGACTCTAGGACTAAGATTAAGGATCTCAACTCCAAAATTGTATCTTGTTCAGGAACAGTTCATAGCATATTCATAGCTGCAATTAATTTTTGGAAGGGAGCTCCAATAAGAATTATATGAATGAATCGGAAGTTTTGACTCCCTTAAAATTAATTTCCGTAACGGCCAATCACTGGCTATTTTCAGGCTATATCAACAAGTTTGCTTTTAAAGGAGAATTCCTAAATCTCAGTGCTCATGACTGGGAAGTACGACAACATACCTAACATTTCTCTTCTTTGGTTAGACTACTTTTTCAGTTCAGAGAGGCGTCAATGATGTCAATGATAAAACAGACATCATGAAGAGCACGAAATGATCAAAGTCCAATGTTCCAGCAACTTACCAGTTATGAAAGCAATTTTGGAAGTCAACATGTTGAACTTTTAGATTCTTCGTCTTCCTGTAGACACACAAAAAAAAAGAGAAACTAGCAACAGAAAGATGTCATAAATTTTACAGGTACTTCAGAAAACTGCCAGCCAATACACAACCAGAAATCTTGAGTGAATATTGAATAATAAATTATTAATTACAATACATGAATAATAAAGGAAGAAATGGAAATCATCTTATCAACCACCACAAGTCGCATGTTGTTGCCTTGATGGGGAGGGAGAGGAGGGAGGGACCGAGGGATTTTCGAAGATTTGCCCAGAGTGACGTCATAGATTCTAGATTCAAATAGAATGACGTAATAAAATGCTTTCTAAATTAGCCAATAGAAAATAAGAATAAGAAGTAACTCTCAAACTACTTCACGCCGAACTTGCTCCAAAATAACCACAGTTTTCTATAGAACTTATGTAAACTTATTCGTTGTGACGTAAAATGTAATGAAGGTACTCTACTTTCTCTATGCTCTAGTTCTTCTTCTCCATCTCCAAGTCCAACGAATTTCTGAGTCCTCAGCAAAAGGAAGACAATTTTCGTTTTAATTTGTGAAATTAGTTATTAAGTCAAGCAAACAATAGTTTCTTCTTTTATAGACATATCTCCTTTACAACGTCGGTGAAAGTGCCGTCAGAATTAAGTTTAGATCCCCTTGCTGGTCCTTACTGTTATTCCTTTTCGACTTCTTTAATGGCTCAAAACATCAACCCCTCAGTCTCCTCGCACATAAATTCTCCAACGGAAAGTAAAACAAGTGAGGGAACTCAGCACATCTCACAAGATAATCATGCAGTTACCAAAAGGTAATGTTTCTTTTGTGTCTCACAAATTTTCCTTCTCCACGACTCGAAGTTGTAGGTTATAATCTGTTTCCACTGCAGTCTCAGAATCAGGAATTGAAGCTCTGCAAGCCTAAAAACTCCAGTGTTCTGCTGAAAGCATCTTCGTCCCAATTCCTGGTAAACTTTTAGCGAGTTTAGTATTACATGGATCCTCAAGGATTCGCCATCACAAGTTCCACTCGGGCAAGTCTTCCTTTATCTGGGGAAGGAGCGGCACCCATTTTCACCTCGGAGACAGAGATTGTTATCGATCTCACCCAATCTACTATTTCAGAGAGCAATGTCTGTTTTTGGAATACATATTTCAGCAAGCATTCTCCTCAATATTTTCATACTTTAGATGATTTTTTTTTTTTTCCATCAATGGACAGATTACGTTTGACAAGCTGGCAAACGTCAGTTCAGTAAGGAGTTAAGTAGTTCGCATGTACATCTAATGCTAGAGGATTTAATTGATGGAATAAAGAAATTGCTATTCAATTAACCAATTTTTCATAAAACTGCAGAAGCTCTGAGTAAACTCTACCATCAACTATTAAGTTTAAATAAATTATCACATTGGGGTACTAAGTTATTCAAGAAGAAGGAAATGCCGGAAAGTTTGATCTGTCTAGCAATTACAGAAAATAGTCAATCATGAATAAAACCAAAAGGTTGCTGAGAATTGCATTCATTCAGATCAGTAATGATTACCAAACAAGTTCGAGAAGAAATACTTAAGTACCTAGAGACATGAATGAGGAGTTCTTGAGTCAAATGAGAAATTTGAAAAGGGTCCTTAAGAATAATTGTGTGTGGTTGGGAAAAAAACTGTTCCAATTAGATGCCATATGGTGGGAAAGGGAGTCAAAAATTATGTTTCCAAATCAAGTTTAAAGTTTCAATATTTTCTCTGAATGAAGTTCTTTAATTTTTTTTGCCCACCATATTCGGAGCATAAATTCTGTTGCAAAATAAAAATGAATTGAAGGGCTTGAAGGACAAGGCGTATAAGTGCAGTTTTCGAAAAAGTTGAGATAACAATGAATCTAAGTAAAACTAGTCTTAATGCATATGCTGTGACAAATTCGCTCCTAAATTCCAATTATTACGCGTCAAAAAGACAGTTTGAACTTTCTTTTCACCATAAGGATCCATGTTATTTCGAAACTTCAAACACGTATTACTTGAAACAGCAAAAACTGCACTTGTGCACCTTGTCTTCCAAGCCCCTCAATTACAATTTCTCAGTCCTAAATTCAAGAGCAAATTTATTCAGGAAGGAAGCACAGCAGAAGTTAAGTGTTGAAATGTACTATCACCCCTTCTAGAATTTGCGGTGGGTTGCATCCGACTTTTTTAAGTGCGTTTCGTTCATGGTACCCTGTGAAGTCAAAACAATGATCTTACTTGATTTTGAAGTAAAAGATATGCATCAAACATATTCAATGGAATGATGTCTCTTTGAGTGTTGCAAACATGCCATTTACCATAAGTGAGAGGATTACCTAGCAAGTTCTGTGATAATTTTTGCAGTTCCTATAAGCATCCAGAGCAGTTTTTTGTTCAAAAATCTCATATCTAGTAATGACAAATTCATGAAATCATTTGCAATGTAAATTATTTTATCCTTGGGAAACTCTTGAACTATTTATTTACGAATGATTACCCCTGCGGAGAGCAATTGAAAAAACCATGTAAATTTCTGCACTGATATTCAACCGCTATCGAACTAATTCAAAAAGCTATTCTAATCATTGAATTATTCTTTGTTGCAGACTTCAAAAAGAGCTGATGGTTCTCATGGTGAGTTTGAATCTTTGAATAGTATTTTAATCATATGATCTTATATTCTTCATGAATAAAAGAAGCCTTGATATTATTGCCATTCCTGCATAGAAAAGTTTACTGTTTTTCCCAAGTACTTAGATGGGCAGAATTTTGGTTCATTTCATACAAAGGAGCCGTTAATATAATAGTGCGGTTTAACTAATAAATCTGAATATCATTAACCTAAGAATCACAATTTACTCATTTAAGTAAAGCCTCTGTAATAATAGCTGAAACTTGCAGGTAGTAAATTGTCAGTATACAACTGAGAAACAAGCAAAATACAAAGAAGTAATATGAAGTGTACAATCTCAAAGGACCCTACAACAAAATGGCCAAATCGGCCTAAACACGGAATCGTACGATTTTCTCAGGGATGATAGAGGGTCTTCCCAGACACTCAAAACTGGTCATATTTTTTGCCTAACCCCCAGGGAAAAGGGGGGAGAGGGGGTCAAAGTCAAAACCTTTAAGTTAGCATAACTTCTCAACGGTTTGTCGTGGAAAGATGATCTTGGTGTCAAAATTTCCAGAAAAATGAGAGCTTTCAGAATATATGTATGAAATTAATTAAATTTTAAAATTTGACCCACTTCTGGGGCATTTTACAAGGTCCCCCTTTCGTAAATTTTCGTTTTTTGAGATTTTCGGTTGTTCGGTTCGCAAGGATTAAGACAAAAACAATTTCAAATGAAAGTAGAGCGTTTAAGCTTTAAAACAAGCCCAAGATGATCTTGGGGAAACGATTAGAAGCGGAGTTATGAATCTTCAAAGTTGACGCGGCGCGCGGGAACCTTGTATGTTCCAAGTCTCAAGGTCACCTGCGCGCCCCGGATTGCCTGCAGGTTGCAAGTTTTTGTGTTTTTATGCTTCTGTAGGTCATTTTTAATGTAAATCATTCAATGAAGATAGAATAATCAGAATTTTTTTAATTTTACACAATGGGCCTCGGGCGAGGTACACCTCATTAACGTCAAAAAATTTTAACTGTGTTTCAAGTAGTCCCCTCAAGAATAACTAAGACTTGTTTTGAAGCTCAAAGCTCGTCTGCTTCTACGAGAAACTATTTGGCTTTACCATGTGAGTTCCGTCAAGCGCTGTAGCTTATAGCTCAATTAAAAAAATTTAAAATTAGGGGTACCCCAAAATTTGGCATCAATGGGTTATAATTTCTAAATGATTCAGTTCTGTATGGAGCATATGTACATTTGAACTGAGGGTCCATGGTTTCCTCTAAATTATAAGAGCAGAATCGTCATCGTCAGCAGTGTTTAATGAGGTATGATGGACATAATGGTTGATACTCTGAGCCCCCTCTCGCTCCTCCCGTAAAATTAAAAAATTTCGGTTATTCTATCTTCATTGAATGATTTACATTAAAAATGACCTACAGAAGCATAAAAACACAAAAACTTGCAACCTGCAGGCAATCCGGGGCGCGCAGGTGACCTTGAGACTCGGAACATACAAGGTTCCCGCGCGCCGCGTCAACTTTGAAGACTCATAACTCCGCTTCTAATCGTTTCCCCAAGATCATCTTGGGCTTGTTTTAAAGCTTAAACGCTCTACTTTCATTTGAAATTGTTTTTGTCTTAATCCTTGCGAACCGAACAACCGAAAATCTCAAAAAACGAAAATTTACGAAAGGGGGACCTTGTAAAATGCCCCAGAAGTGGGTCAAATTTTAAAATTTAATTAATTTCATACATATATTCTGAAAGCTCTCATTTTTCTGGAAATTTTGACACCAAGATCATCTTTCTACGACAAACCGTTGAGAAGTTATGCTAATTTAAAGGTTTTGACTTTGACCCCCTCTCCCCCCTTTTCCCTGGGGGTTAGGCAAAAAATATGACCAGTTTTGAGTGTCTGGGAAGACCCTCTATCATCCCTGAGAAAATCGTACGATTCCGTGTTTAGGCCGATTTGGCCGTTTTGTTGTAGGGTCCTTTAAAAACTTGGGCACTTGCACAGTAGATACCGGCAGGGGGCAGAAACTTCTCAACTATATAACTGGCTTGTTGAGTTTGGTCTCTTGCTGCCAAAATGAGGTGGCTTGGCTTCAATAGGTACTTTTGCAATGTTTGTAAAGCATTGTGGCAAGAATGATCTAGGAGGCTCCAAGTTTTTCTGAGGCAACAAACTGTTCTTCCTATGACATAGTAATAATTTACGTTTTAGAAAGTATCCCCACCAAAATCGCAGAGAAAATTTGTATTCAAAAGGATTTTAGTGTCAGCATACTTTTAGAGCAATCATGTTCACTATCTTGGAATAAACTTTAAGATCTGTATCACCTAGATGCTACTTCACCGAGGAGTTATGTAAACATAACTATGTAACCAATATATGAGGACTTATCTGTAACAATAGCGGATGTGAAAATTTACCTTTTCGAAACACATTCAAAAAACTGTTTTGGCATCGAGAAAATTTTGAGATAATACTTGAGATGTGATCCTCGAGATCTGTACATTATGCCAGAGCCAAACATATTAAATTTTTGTGTGAACAAAACAGTTTTTTAAGCGTATTTCGAAAAGGTAATTTTTCACATCCGCTATTATTACAGATAAGTCCTCATATACTTTCATTTCATATTCATTAAATCATTCATTTCATATTCATATTCATTTAAACTGCCACAGTTTTTAATAGCACATGTCTTCTCAGTAAAAGTAAAACTCAAAAAATATCTAATTCGATCATTTTCCTCAGATGAGTGGAGAGAAAGGTGTATCAGCTTTTCCAGAAGGTGAAAACCTTTTCAAATGGGTAGCAACCGTTACTGGCCCAGACTCAACTGTAAGTTCAAACTCTCTTCTTTATTCTTAATTTTTGTTTTACTTGTTTTACTTAATTGTCTTTGTTGAGTAATTAAGGAGGAGTCACATATTCACTGACAATGACACCAAAATAACAAATACCTGTCATAATATCGGGAATTTATTCTTAAAAATATGAAGAACTTGAGTTGCTGGCGAATTCAAATCTAAGATCTCTCAATCATCAGTCAGTTATAATGTCCGTCCAGCAATTGAGGTCAGAAGATATAAGTTGGGGATCAACAATATTTCAGATGTTTGAGTTTTTAAAAACCCATTCACTCACAGCAGTAGCGTAGCTGATCAAGTGAATGCTGACCTCCTGAAAATGAACTATTTTTCTAGCGTACTTTATCCCATATCTCCCTAGCATCACCGATGCCTTTTCCAAGTATGTAGTCTTTCTGGCTCAATATGCTAACTGGAAGAAAATTACAATAAGAAGAAAATAATTTCATCACTACAGCAGGAAAACGCACAATAGGAATTGGACATTTTAAGTAATGAATTGATCGAAGGAATCAGTAAAATGAATCATTAAACAGTCTAGAAAATTATTTTATTTCTTTAAATTGACAAGCCACATCTCTATTATTAGTTCCTAATTTACAAGTTTTCACTATCTGTTTCCATGCTTAGTTAGGCATTTCGATATGATGATGCTGTCCATTGATTTGCAATTTATTCTTTTTTTGTAGGTCTACGAGGGTCTGACGTACAAATTAGCTTTGGAATTCGGTAGCGGTTATCCTTATTCGGCCCCTGTTGTGAAATTTAAAACGCCTTGTTTTCATCCAAACGTGGACACATGTGGTAACATCTGTTTAGATATCCTTAAGGAAAAGTGGTCAGCTCTGTATGACATTCGGACAATACTTCTTTCGATACAGTCACTGCTGGGAGGTAAGAAAAATTGAATAATTCCACTGTTTCTTTTCTCATGGTGGTTTGAAGAAGGTTAATCGATTGGTAATCCCTCTATTATCTTTGCCTGCAAGGTTTTCTCACATTATATTACCTTCTTTACCTTCTGTCTTGCCTTTCTATCAGAGGTATGAGTACAGGTCCCCTGCTTTACCCCAGAAGGGCAGGTTTTGTTTTGAAAGCGTCAGGTTAACAAATATCCCTATAACTGATTTCAGAAACCATTTGTTTTGATTGCAGTGCTTTCACATCTCTGCTGCTATTTTATTGTTCCAAAAGCAATCATGTCAACTTTTTTATTTGAAATTTTAGAGGAAAAATTTTCGATAAGTGGAACAAGTAGCTAGTGTTGGAAAAATGTTGATTTGCTCTTTGATTAAATAATAAGGTATAAAGAGACATCTGCAATGTTGCAACTGAATTTTTCCGAGAGAACCAAGGGAACTTAAAAGTTCAACATTTTCATAGATTATTGTTTCAAGAGGAAAGAAAAGTCATGGAAGTTCTGGACAAAGGACCCTGCACACACTTAATGGGGATGTGTATCACGATCGATTTTTAATTTTTTTATTGTTTCAAATTCGTCTATGGATGCTGATCAAAAGTCATCTTGGCGCCAGCTTTCTACAAGGCACCGTTTTTGCTCAAATCCACAGAAAAAGTTCCAATAATTCCTTGCATAAATGAAGGTAGTGCAGTACTTGAGTACGGTTTGGGTCGGTCGAATGAGTGTGAATCACGTAAACGGGGAAACCGATCAGCATATGAGTGTCAGTCTCATCTTGAATTCCGTACATTTTTCTTTTCACCGTCCAAATCAGTTTCTCTCTTTCTCTCCCACTCTATTGTCCTCACCAGACAAAAACATACTGTGTTTTGATTTTAGCTGGCCTGCCCTGGAAATTATCGAAACCTCAAGAGCAACTTGTGCCATAACGGTGGCTTGTAGAAAGTTGACATACTGATGACTTTTGATCAGCATCCATAGACGAATGTAAAACAACAAAAAAACTTTAAAAATCGATCGTGGCACACATTTCTACAAGGAGTGGGTGGGGTTCTTTGTCCCAAACATTTGACATTTCGTCAGACTAATTTTTGATAATTTCTATGATGAAAAAACGAAGTAGATTTGATAGGGACAGGGTTACCACAGCAGAGAATACTGAGAAAACAGGAGAATGTCAGGAAATTTAAAAAAAAAACCTGGAAATGTCAGGGAAAATAATGAAAAAATGTTAGGGATAAATCGTCAAATCACCTTCATTTGCTTTCTCAAGTGGGTGTGACGTTTTGAACAACAAATTTTGCCTGAAAATTATGTTGAACTATTATATGTGTTTTTAACAATCTGGCATTGCTGAGGAGAATTGTCGATCTAGCTTGGGACCTAACTTCTCAAAAATCCCCAACGGATTTATAAAGTATTTAAAGTTCTTGTGTCAGATACAGATATTTAAACTCAGTCATGGAATTATTTATTTTTATATTCTTGGGAACTGAAGGAATGTGTACTTGGTAGAATTTGTTCATGGTTGTCTTCCGAGATTATTTTTCTCCTAACCATAATAATATTCTTGTTTCAGAACCAAACAATGAGAGTCCGCTGAATATCCAGGCAGCAGACCTATGGCCGAATCAAGTAAAATTCAAAAAGTATTTACTGGAACATTACAACTCCCACAGCAAAAATTAGCCAATTTAAATTAATTGTAACATAAGTTTAAGTGAAAATTTATATTTTATGAGTTTGTCAGCGGTTGGCAATGAGTCAATGTGTGATTTGTTTGAATTTTTGTTTTTTAAATTTATGCTCTGTCCATTGCAATCGTCCCCAATTATTGTACATTATCGTAATCATGTCTTTTTCCAGTGTTCCGCAGAAACTCTTGCATGTCTTTAATGTGTGGATGCATTTACATGAAAGGAATTTGTCGCCAGAATCGAACATAGACATATTTCTTTGATGCCAATGCATCTATTTTGAATGATCCGTAATCCGGAATTATGTGTCTCAAATCTTTTTTTAAGTACAATTTTGTCATAATCTTTTTGCTTTTTGCCTTTTCTATGAATTTAATTTCAATACATTTAGAGGCATTGACTTGTCAGTGCATAATACACTGTTTCCTCATCAGTTTTAAATCTGTTAACATGATGTTTTTCCTCTAAACTATTACCAATACACTAGCTACTTTTCCCAACCTTACAATCATGTTTTTTTCTCCTCTCAATCCCCTTGGAGTAAGCATCAGTGGGAACCATAGGTAATTACTAACTGCATACAAAGTTTATCATTATGAAGTAAATTTAATTTCTGGAATTTTTTTATTTTCATTTTTTCCAAAACACTCTTCAGGAGGGTAAGAAAAAAAACGATCATTAGAATGTCTACTCATAACTTTAAGGCGTCCAACACTCCATTCTGTATGAAATAACTGAAGAACCCACAAAGCTTTCGAACATATCATAAAATTGCTCCTGAACAGTTTTTGAATCTTGGAGTAAAGTTAAATGATAAGATGTCACAAGATCAGAATTCAGTTTTTCATACGACAGATATTTTTTCAGTTTAAACTTCGCATTTCTATTTTGCTGAATGGCTTTTAGCAATTTCTATCACTGTGGCAGCAAACAAAGGTTAATAATCTGCCTGATTTGGCACTGCATTGACAAATGGAACTAGGAATGATTTTTCAGTCGTTTGTCAAACATGAGCCAATGCGTAATGGAATTTCTGATAGATCCATGATATAATGTTCCTACTTTTCAGTGTTGCTGACTTCATCCTACCCTCATTTAGGTATTCATTTCAACTCTGGCCTAATGATCCATCAGAAGATCACTTCGCTAGTATTATATTTCACTACCTTGTCTATGGTCTTCTAGGACTGATTCAAGAATAAAGCCCAGTTAGGATTATGTTGAAAATATGATGGGATGAAAAGAGGACAAGACACAGCCGTATCTTAACCATGCAAGATATTGCATTTCAACATCTTATCTTGCTACCATGAGCTTTCTATAATCAGTCCTGGAAGCTTGTATCAATCTAAAATCCCTAAATTCTCCATTTCAGACTTTCTGATTCAAATAAGTTAAAAGTGCCATAAAATTTGATGGAATGAAGCAAAGTGAGATTTGACATGAAACGTCAAATTTTTCTGTTGTACCTAGCTATAAAACCACACTGGAATAAAAAATGTTAATTTTCATATTTCTTTGCTGATACTAAGACCGAGTATTCGGTCTATATTTCAAATCATTCTCTGCCTTGAGACTAATATTCAGCGAGGTTGATGTTTTCAGTGATACCTAATGAGAGAGCAATAAATTTCTGAAGCTGACAATAGCACCGGCCAAGTGGCCAAATTGCTCCTAAATTTACACCTGTAATATAGTCCCCTAAATTTGAGATAGGTTGGTACCGACTCTGAAAGGTTACTTTTTGAGTGTTATTTGGACGGAGTTAAACAGAAAGGAACCAAGCCACATCGGGATTGAACCGAGAAAAAGAGGCTTAAAGTTTAGCTCCTGCATAAGACTCAATGTAAAAGTTAAACTTCAAGTTTAATTTCTGCAAAATTTGCTCCAACAAAAACTTTGAATTTTTGGCGATAGATGGTAGAGCAGTGGTTGAGTTCAAAACCACTCATAACTCAATTTTTTCTAAAATGTGGGTTGGTTCCTTTCTGCTTAACTCAGTCCATTTATTGCTTCAAATATTTCGGAGGGAAATCTTTCTGATATGTACAGTATTAGCTCATCTCTCCCCCCCCCCCCCCCCCCNCCACTACCTGTAATTCCAATTCCAACCTGTCAGTCCGATCAAAATGAACTACGTCTACGTACTATACATACAGGGTGTCCCAAATTTCCGGTCCGTCCCCTCTAAAATTCTACCTAATTAAGCAGGGCCGGATTTACCTACTTGCCGCCTATGAGCCGCCTGTATTTTGCCGCCCCCTTCTCATTCGTTTTGAAACATCAATAAAAACTATCAAGTGAACGTGCCGGAAGGGGAGGGGTGCTTAAGACGCGTTTACCTACTCGTGTTGAATACATTTTTTGCGAAAGCCCCATCAGGCCTAGGTACCTACTAGCAAAAGTTCACGGAACTTTGCGCGAAAGTTAGGTTCTGTAACATATCTCTGTGTGAACAAGGTCCTCCATGTATAAGAAATGAACCAAAAAATTGAAAGAACAAACATTAATGAGGTTTACTAATTTTAACTTCCGCCGCTGCGCCGGGCTGGTCGCACTGTGTTTGGTGCAATGCGTGAAGTATTCCTGCAGTCTTGTAGGCGCTACGCGTTTTACGCCAACCGCTCCCGACCGCACTATGTGTATGACGCAATGGGTGAAGTATTCATGCAGTCTTGTAGGCGCTAATATGTGTTACATGTCGACCGCCGTGCCCCGTGCCGAGGGCTTGTCCTTTTCATTTCCAGTCCTCGTCATCATTTCTCTCTGCGCTGAGCTCCCAGCCAAATTGCGTTTTTAGTTCCTCTCTTAACTCGACTAATAAAAGATGGTGTCTCTTTTATCACCGAAAAACGATACAATTAGAAATTACTATACTCTCAGGAAAGAGAGATTTTGTCCCCTTTTCTCACTGATAATTTTTTTTTTTCTGAATCCGATTATTTTATACCTATGTTTTGAAAAAATTGCAAAATTTGCTGCCCCCTTTTGCCGCCATGGGCCGCGGCACATGTGGCCACCCCCTTAATCCGGCTCTGTAATTAAGTAATATTTTGAATATGTAAGCTGGAGCACCCACCGCATGGAGGGGCAGCGGACCCGAACTTTTTTTATTTCAACCCTATATTCGGAACTGTAACTAGTCGCCACTTTGATAAAAATCTAGGTAGCGACCTGCAGTTTGCACCAAAAATGTTCTTTATTTTTATATCCAATTTCGATTAAGGTGCCACAAAGGGGGGGGGGGGGGTCGATCCACGAACATCCTTAATGTTCCGGCTTAAATTATGGAAGGGAGCGGACCGGAATCGGACTTTTAGGGCACCCTCTATTTGGAATATGACATGCTCTAGATGACGTAGTCCGTTACTCAATGTGACGCCCAACATGACCGTCGAAAAATTCTGATCTCTACCTTTCTTCCTTCCACCATTATCATGACATTCTTATCACATGACATTATGGCTCTTCACTTGATTATCGCGTGCAACTTATCTCTAGAGTGCGAATTATCATTTCTTTCTGCAAAAATAAATCATTACTAAGCAGAATCCGAGATTATCTTCACACAAAGTATGCCCTGCTGTAGCGTCGGCGTCTGCAATCTTCAATCATGAAGTGACTCCGTAATTTGTCTCTACTGACTTCGCCGTGGATCGCTGCGCTCACGTTTTCCGATAAATTACGTCTGAACAGAATTGAAGCTCGTGTCTACAGTTTCCAAGGTAAACAGGTTTACATTTTTCTTTTTTTACCAGCGGCATTGCAGGAGGTCCCTCTAGGGAATAGATGATAGGTCCAGTAAGTACTTCCTTGCTTTTTCAATGAGTGTTGGTCGTGATGAAGCTCTCATCCTGAGCAGAAGTTGAACAGCTATCTTCAGGATTACGATTCGAAGTCCAACAGTTCTTACCTCACGTATTTAGAAAACAGTAAATTCTCGCATGAATACTCATATATTGCCTATGCGTAAGGTTGCAGGGCTTCAGACTCTGAAATGATGCTTTGAGGTACCTTTGCCAAGGGGCTTCCCGGGTAAAGGAAGATGGGATTTCCCAGCATGGGACTCCCATTAAGAGGAATTTCTCCAGAGTGTTGGTTATTGAAATTTCCTCATTAACAGAAGCTATCATGGGATTAAGATGAGATGTGTGACTATGGTTGGGTAGTCGAATATCATGTGGACTTTCCTTGTCGAGCTGTGAACTAGTTTCATTAAATATACGGAACGGAATCAGCTAAAATTGCCACCAGCTGAACATACTTTTAACCTGAAAGATTTAGGATGACATGATACATCTATTAAACTGTGTCATTTCATTTTTCAAAAATGAAAAATTGAGATTAATAGCTCATTTAAAATTATTAAAGTCGTCTAAAAATGAAATAGATTCCGGAGAGGATAAAGAAAAGTCTTTCGACGATTCACCACAGTTGTCCGGGGTTTCCAAGTTCCAAAAATTGTAAGTCCAGAATCCAAAATAACGCCAAGTCGAAAACGTGAGAGAGAGAGGTAGGAGCTGGGTCCGAGGTAGGCAAGAGAGTAAGATCCCGCCAGGCCGAGGCTCCCGGCAGGAATAGCAGATCGAACCTCGATAAAAAGGCGCGTTCGAGTTTTTGAAGTTGATCAAAAAAAAGTTAATGAGCGCAATTAAGATAAAGAGTTAAGCTCTTATCTAAATATCTCAACCATTCAACATAATTTTATACGGTAATCAGTGGGCAAACTGATGCATTCAGATTAAGTACGTGACATTTGTCTATTCTTCGCCTTCCCCAGCTCTAGCGAGTAACAATGGAGCATCCGGTAATTCTGCACTCGGAGCAATGCAGGGATATTGAGGTTTGTGTCACTATTACCTAAGTACAAGAATGGAGTAGTTGCTGTGTTAACCTGTCAGAGAGGTCCTCAATCGGCCAAAGCTGCATGAGCGGTTCGTGTGAATCTTAGTAGAGTAACGATTTCTTGATAATTGAGGCAGCCTAACTTCCCAAGAGTGTCACATCGAAGGTGCTGGACCTTGACCCCTTCACTTGGTCTTAGTGGTGTACTGCTCATGTCTTCCATACCAGTCTCAGTTTTGAACATAAGCAGAGTGGACCAAAATCATTGCAACTCGTCAGGGCCAGTGAGTTTCTTGGGTGGAAAATTTGTGTCTCCTAGAAATTGTGGCTAGACTTAAGAGTAAATTTCATATTAAATAATTCATAACATGTTACAGGTTCGATGTTCAGAAACCAGAATGAGAGAATTCGCCAACCCAGCTCATTGTCAGTGCTCAACGACGGATCCTGCTTTTAAACAGGTTGTCATCATTGGTAAGTTTCGATCCATGAATATTTGACAGAATAGGTGGCAGGGGTTCAGAAAGTGCTTAGGAGCCAAAAATCACTGCAATCGTAGCCTCGAAATTTCCTCCTCCTGCACAGAATCCATAATTACCTATCCCTTATGCCAAACAAATTAGTGCTTTTTTTCCTATATTTTTGTTTTTTTATTTTTTAAGTAAAAAGAAAAAATTTTATTGTAAAATTTCCTCACTCAGTCACAAATTTTCTCACGCCAAGCAAAAGTTGTGACTCATTCACTCAAGCACTTTCTGCACCCCTGGATGAAATGTCACATGAACTACCTATCCTACCTAATTATGTAAATAATTTCCTTCATTTCTCAGTCGGCCATTTTTTTACCTTGCTTTTGATTATATTTGTTTCTTAATGTGCTCAAATTCATTGGCAGATCCAGAAAATTGGCAACATTGTTTTTCTCCTTTTAAACCTACGGCAATGTATCGATTCTTGGAGGGGACAGGTGCTCCGTCAGGAATGGATTATTTAACATAGGTTTAAATGGAGGGAATCCGGTGTTGCCAAATTACTAGATCCGCCTCTGCCCAGTTATCATCGGGCATTTCGTAAAATGTATAATTAGCCTCGGCACATACGGATTCCCCCAAGAAAAAGCTGGCTTTTTTAATTATTTTTCAAAGTGCTGAAAACACTAAATGGGGCAAATCGTCCTGTGCCTTACTTTTGAGATTAGACTGTAACATATTGGCGCTGTAGATGGTTGTCTCTTGTGCACCACTGACAAAAACCAAGGTGGAAGAAATTATTGAGTTCTTTATTGCGTCGGATGATGACAATCACCATGGTTTTCAAAGGAGTGATATCTAGATTGTATAGTTTTAAAACTTTGAGATTTGATCGGATCTTATTGTGTTTTGTAAATCAATAAATTTTAGACACTAAAAAATTAATTCTGTCACTGTCAAACGGACCCATTAGGGCTGAATATTTTAGATGGAGGTATGAAGTCTGATACATTTTGTAGCAAACTTGATCTCGGAAATTTTTTTTTTTTTTCAGGAAATGGCCCGTCTGGAATTATTCTGTCATATCTTTTGAACGGAAACTTGCCCTATTACAATGGGAGTCCTCATCCAGATGCAATGCTAACAGCCCGACTTCAGTCAGCACCTAGTCCTTCCCTCATCGAACAAGATCTTGAATTTTTATCTCAGGTATTTTCTCTGCACTTCATTTTTCTTTTCATTTTCGTCCATCTCTAAAAAAAGGGGGCCTCAACGAATGGACCCAAATTTTTCAGGTTTGCAATATTGGCTGGCTCATTGCTCAGTAGTATTTCAAGAGAATAAGTTGTAAGCATATAAGTTCATTTCCTGTTCAATGGAGGGTGTAAAGTTGCATTTTAATCCAAAAATGTTATTGCATATTTGACAGTTCTTCCTCAAAACTATGCTTTTGACACCGAACTTCAAACTGTGGTTTATTTTTATATTTTTGGGTTTATTTTACACGGACATGATCGTGAAATTTCCTCTTAATTTTGAGATTTTTTGCTTTGAGATTCCTTTTTACAGGTAACTTACACATAGTCAAAATATGCCGATTTACAGATTAGTAAAATATCCAACAGTTTTTAAGAGCAAAGCAAATTTTCAGCACGCAATCTACTCAAAGCTGGATGTGATTCAATCATCCAAATACTAGGTTTACTCCTTTGTCTCAAAATAGATTTTGTAAAAGCGTCAGTCAAGCTCAAAGAGCGTTTGAAAATAGTTAATTTCCGCTTTTGGTACAAGATAACCAATGCTCATGGTGAAAGCGCACAAAAATTCGGTCCTGCGGAGAAATAGCACTTCCTTTTTCAGGGTCCTCCAACATGTTCCTGCTGATTGACAAAAAATGGTGTTATGACCCTGCATATTCTTCTTCTGTGGATTCTGCCACCCTCTTAATGGTGCCTTGTCAATTCAAAAGGAACAAGAGCTCAGTTCAAACCCAGTTTTTGGCTGCCTTAATTTTCTGCTCCTTTGAGTGATCATTTTTCCTGGTTGCCATTATCAAAACATTTGGGGAAAAAACAATAAACTTCCAATACTTACAAATGACACCACATATTTTCAGTTTGCTGATTTTTGTATTTTTTCTCTTTTACATCATTTTCCTTCTAATGAATTTTACTGGAACCTCTGTTTTAGGGTCTAGAAGGTCGTTCAAATAACCCAGTATCTTTACTCATGGACTCGCTAATGCATCCATCAGCCGATCTTGGGTTAGAGTATCCCAGCGTCGTCAAATTTGAACACTGTCCTAATAGTTCAATAGATCATGTTGTGATCGGGAAAGGTGCTCCGGGTGGCATATGGCAGGTATAGTGTTTTTTATTTTCTGTTAATTATCTTTTTGCTTATCCTCTACTTCTCCGCTGTCGGTAGCTTGCTTTTTTGGTTTGTATTTACTTCTGGTGAAACACAATAATCTCACCAGTCAAATGCAAGTAGATTTAGAAAATTGTGAATAAATATGAAAGAAAACATGTAAGGTAGCCTCAAAAACCCTTAATTTTAAGAGCCTCTAATGGAGCAAAGACTTTTCCACATCCAACAAATATTTTTTTAAACAGCCTTTGTCCAAATAAAGAAAAGTACCATACATGAAAGAAAATGATAAAATGATGAGTTTTATTTCATTTTCAAAATTGGATTAACCAAAGACTAGGCCTAAAATATCGTTTATAAATAGATGAATTAAGTAGCAATATAATTCCTTGAATATAAAGATATTAATAAAGAACACAAACTGCATTACCTAAATGTGTGGATCAGGACTCACAACCAAGAAATTCAGGACTCCAACAACTTTGCAACCAATTGACAGATCTCCCAGTTGAGTTCCTTGTCAGTGCTGTAGGTCAGATGTTGATTAATGTTTATTTATTGTTATTTCTATTTTTACTTTGCCCAGGACATGAAAAAAAATCTGTTGACCATTAGTCTATCTTCTTGGATGGACCTTCCAGGCCTCACGTTTCAAGAATGGAGTTCTAAAAATTTGAACGTGAAGGAACCGGTGAAACGAGCGAAGGCAGGAAAAGTGGCGCAGTATTTTTCTGACTATGTCAAGAAAATGAAATTGTGCAAGTATTTCAAGAACCACTGCACAGTAACATCCGTCAAGCGGTTGAAATGCTCAGAAGTGTTTTCCTCGGTGAGTTTTTTCCCTTAAAGAGGGCCACGCCTAAAAATTGCAGTTGTCTATGAAAAAGAGGGCCTTAACCCACAAAGGACGTAGATCAAAACACTCAAAATTGATGCATTGGCACTGATGCATTGATGAGTGTTTTAAAAATATTTTGGTAAAAGCAACGGCAAAAAGTGTCTGACCAAACTCGAGTCATGACAGGTTAAAGTTTGTTATAAAAGCTATTTTAAGTTTTTATCTGTCCTACTTGAATCCGAAAATTCTTTGATTACATTGTAATTTTAAAATACCATTGTACTTTGTTTTTGGAAAGTTTCATTCAAACTATTCTGAAGCAACAATTTCTACTTAAATAGTGGTTTTTATTTTCTCTCTCTCTCTGGAGCTAGCCTAAAGTCAGAATATCTGAATGTTTGCAATCCAGGAATCTTTTCTAGAATATCACGAAATTTAAAGATTTTATTTCACTTACAGTTTTGATAATAAGTAATAGCTTTGCCTCAACAACTCGTTATCTCATGTAAAAAAGTGGAAGTCTTTTTGCCTTATTTGCATCATCTCAAGCTAGGTACTTCTTGTTTCAGTGTGGACAAATGGTAGTCTCAGACGAAGGTCTATGGTTAGTCAGTGGTTTCAGTAATGCGACTCACGAGCCATTCAGGTATATCACGCCCCGAGTTGTTCTTGCAACAGGAACTGCGGATGTGCCTAACAAATTGAACGTACCTGGTGAAACTTTGTACAGCTGGATCAAGCATGATTTAGCCTCTTTCGAATTTGATTTGAACAGGAAGAGTAAAGGCTGCTACTTAGAAAATGAAGGTATGCGACTATCATAAATCAATCCCAACAAATATTTTGAGCAATGCTCAAATTTCACTACAAAATTTTATTAGCCATCTTCAATTTTCTCCGAGGATTTGAATAGAATTCTGCAAGGACCAAGGGTCAAACAGTACCTAATATCTGGAGCCACACCATTTTTTCAGATGCTGACAGGTGCCCCTTATTTTCAGGCACCAAAGCCTGATTTTCAAAGCATTTTGTGCATGGAATCTTATCGCGCTGGCATATTTGCTTGAGCTAGAGACGCAGAGAGACCCTCCATCGGTATCCTTGCAATGGTAGGAGTAAAGTGATGACTGCCTTATTACTGTCCATGAGGAATAGTCGAGTCCTCGAATGTTAAAGTTTTCACCTGTCGCCAAGATGCTAGTTGAGTATCTCTCTGTCTTTGGCTTGAGCCTTCCTTATCACTGAACTGGATAACGCAACTCGGTGAATAAAAATTGGGCAGCATCAAGTAACGAAAAATGTAATCAACAGAATTAGATGACTTCAAGCTGAAGTGAACGATTTTGCTATTGAAAGGAAGAAAGTCTTCAGTTTATATGCAGGGCCTCAGGTTCTTCTGATGTAGTTTACATATCATTTTGGGATATAATGGTTGTTTCACAGTTTAATTTTAATTCAAGCGCTTACATGTATCAGATAAAACAAATAACTAGAATTGTGGCGGGAAGCGCTCAGGTTCTCTCACGAAAAAAATGTTGAATACAAATGAAAACTGAAACATCATACGCGACTTACAACTCGCTACTTTGAGACAAAAGACTTGGATGTAGAAAATGAAGAGACCTTCCTTTTCTTTCGAGAATTACATGATCACCCATTAGTCAGAAGCTTGATCGTTAAAAGCACCAAACCCTTGTTACTAATGTTATGACTCCACCGCTAATATCCGTTAGCAAACTGGTTTGATTTCAACAGTTCATGATTCCTGAGTTGACCTGTACCTTTTGTTTTGACTGATTTAGGGAAAGCAACAGTAGATCCTGTTTTGGTGGTTGGATCAGGATTAAGTGCTGCTGACGCTATTTTATTATTGAGGCGGCTCAATGCTCCAATAATCCATGTTTTTAACCAGAGCTCAACATCAGTTTTAAAAAGTCTTTCCAAAAGCATTTATCCTGACTATCAACAGGTGAGTTACCTTCTGATCCTATTTTTTACTTTGAGTACGTGTAGTATTTTTTTAATTGTCTGTTTTACCAATTAATATACTTATTGATGGCTATGGAGCAATATCGCCTATCTCGCAACTGACTATTTTCCAGGGCGTAGGATTGACTTGGCATTTTTTCCCAATTTTGTGGTTAGGTTTGCAATTTTTCTGAACATCTTAGCGTCATTAAGTACAGCAATCCCATGCAGAATTAGAAAAAAACTAAAAACATCAGCTTGTGTATTTTGTACCGTATTGCAGGAAAGTTGCTAGCGTATCCCCAACAGAATTTTCAGCCAAACGGCACTGTTCCTTAGCCCTTGATTTACTAGTACAGATTATATGAAATATATTTTGCATAAATGCATAAAATTAATATGCTATCTTTTTCATGCTGCCTGAGTGGAAACTATGTGTCCGTAGATTGAGAACAAAGAGTGCACCTTAAACATAGATATTCATCCGTGCAAACTGACAAGTTGTTCACCATATTTTGTCAATATGTTTTCTTCAGATTCATTCTTCAAAGTCTGGTGAAACTGCAAGAAAAAGTTAAACTTCAGCGCTAAAATTCATGATTCCTCTTTAAATCTTTAAAATGGAAAGTGACTCTATGCAAACTTTGGATTTAAAAAATCTCTTGACTCGGAGTCTCAGATTTTTTGACGTTCATTAAAGTTTCAATATTTTTTGAAAAATTTATCTCGTTTTCCTGGCTTTGTAAGAATTTAACATAGTAGCCCAAAATGTTTCTTGGAAGTCTGTTCTCTGACATATCAATTTCATTTTTTGTTTCACTTCTTTTTCAGGTGTGGAACTTAATACACAATAGTGAAAATGAACATGACGGGTATCAAAAATTACCAGACCACCAGATCCTTGATTTTACCAGTCGGAATAATCATCATTATGTCCAAATAGCATCTCCAGATGGAAAAGTTTTTCGAAAGAAAATTTCTTCTGCTGTTATTCTAATCGGCTCTCGTCCAAATCTCTCATTTTTACCTGATTTTTTTCAAGAAGGGAAAACTTTAGGGGTAAGTTACACATATTTATCACATCAACATGATTGCATTCAATTTGGAGTTGGAATTGATGAAATCAAGGTTTTTTGTGTTTCTGACATTTTTACTTATCTTTTAAAGACCAATCAATTGTTTCTAACTCAAAGGCAACAACTCAAAACTTACTTGCTTGGAATTTGGCCGAGCAGATTATGATGCTGTTAGGAGGTAAAGATGAAAAAAAAAAAATAATAATAATAATAATAATAATATTAATGATACTTATTAATGATACTTATTTAACGTTTTACGCTTTTAACAACTTTTTTTTCGATTTTAACTCCTTTTTACGATTTTAACATTCAAATTTTAGCAAGTTTAAGTCAAATTTCAGTAATTTAAGTCAAATTTTAGTAATTTTAAATTAAATTTCAGCAGTTTTTAATCAAATTTTAGCGTTTTTAAATCAAATTTTTAGCAATTATAAACAGCTCTAGCTTTGAAAGACTTGGCTACGGTCCGTCTCGCAATGAGTTTCTTTCCACAAACGTATTTTTGTGAGAAAAGTACCTCTGAAATGATATTTATTAATAAAAATTACACTAAAATTTAAAAAGACGGGGTAAACATTTTAAATCAAGTATTATACTCTGAAATTTTTTCAATCAATCGTATCTTCAGTCTTATTTTCAGCCTTTTATATAGAAAAATAATGAATCGGAACACCTGAACCGATTTTTTAGAATGAGACTCATTAATTATTACGAACAGTGTCCAATATATTCAGTCCTCTGGTGCTACTACAATGCTTAATTTTGCAGGTAACATCCAATGAGCCGATTGATTGCCGAAAAAATCCTCTGAACCTAAATCCCTGGACCCACAAAGTTGTGAACGCTCCACCCGTTTTGTACGCATTGGGCCCACTCGCTGGTGACAACTTTGTGCGATTTCTACTCGGTGGTGCTGTTGCTGTTCTATGTCACATTCATGATGAATCAAAACGACAGGCGGTCAGGTAAAGTTAAGTCATTCTCTTCTTTAATCTCCTGTCAGTGCTGCCTGACAAAGTTTTGAGCTCCGATCTGCAAGACAGTCCAGAATTGCAGGCCAAAACATTGCATTTCAATCCTTCATGAAATACTCGTTGATCAGATTCATGAGAGAATATCTGAGCGGTAATGTCGCTGGTCATTTGCACTATCACTCGATCAATCAAACCCGCTGTGAAAATTTTAATTTTTATATCTTTACACCTTTAAACCTCTCTAATTAGTCATCTTTGTTGCTAAAAGCCTCTCTTTGATCAAATGTGTGCTGTATTACTTCTTTGAGCAAGCTAACACCCATCTAGATTACCATTTTTCAGACTTAAGAAAATTTTAACTGATATCCATAGCAGACTGGTTTCTTTTCCATCCATCCAGAGTTCTTATTAGCTATCAAAATACTGTAAACCTCTAGGAAAGAACTTTAAGAACAATTACTGTAACATTTGTCTTAGCTCTTTGCATTAACCTCTGCTTAAACCTCTGGTTTCAGTTTCACAATTTTCCAATGATTTGGATATTTTGTGTTGATTTAGGATTAGAATGAAAGCTTTTTGCAAAAGTCATACTTCGTGTGAAAGTAGACCAGAAAGTAGTCTAACATTCACACTATGGTTCATAATGTAAGAATTAGCTTTATTTACAGCCTCGCAAAACATCCAGCTCGTATCATCATGTTAACTAAAACTTTTATTTAATTTATTTTTAACTTTCTCTTAACAGATATTTAATGCTCTTTTATAATATTTGACAACTTAAGTATGAATATTAATTGTTAGCTTTTTACTAAATGAAAGCCCTTGATATCTCTCCCGTCTTCTGTTTGCTCCGAGCATAGTGGGTGAACGGACAAAAAGACACATATTCTGTTGCTTAGTGCCTAAGAATCATGAATAATTTTGATTTGAGGAAATGTTGAACAAATGAAAGAGGCTTTGTCTTGGTAATTGAAAATTTTGACCATATCTGTGAACAAATCTCAGAACTAGAAAAATTGCAGGCAATCAGTGGCAGCGAAGTCTTTCTATGCTACTTTTGCATACCAGAGTCACAGCACACTGAGCAGACTTTCAATAATCAAAATCATGGAAAAATTAAGTTGAGCTCTCAGAAAGTGTCTGAAATGTACACATTTACAAGCAATTCTGTTCTAGTCACGCTTAACCAGATCATTTAAAATTTCAATAAGTTTAAAGCTTTCTTATTTGTCTGTTTTTTCTAATTTAAGAGCAGAAAAATTCTTTTAAGGTGTCGAAAACGTTTGTTAAAAATTGAGAAATACTGATCACCATGTTCAAGGTGATTTATTAATTTCAGTTAAAACCTAGATGCCCTATACCAAGAGGAAAGTTCCCCTGGAGGCAAATATGTATAATGAAAATACCTGTCAGGACCCAAAAATTTTGCTCAAATACATCACATTTGCTTAGTTATACTAATATGAAACTCACTCAGTTAGCTGTATCTCTTGTGTGCAAAAGCCCTATCGCCATCAAAAGTTTTAAGTAAGGATGTGATCCACAGTTTCTATGTTTTATTTCTTTGTTTCTTACTTCCCANGGGGGGGGGGGGGGGGGGGGGGGGGGGCTGTGATACACACCATAGAGAATGTTGTTGAATCATTGAATTGTTAAAATCACCTTTGGATTTTTTCAAAGTTTTAAGTGACTTAGGACATTCTGAAATGGGGAAGGTAATACTTGTGATATTTTATTTTATATTCCCTAATGTTAATTTGTTTTAAAGGCATGGAATAAGAAGTTTTAGTCAGGGTATTATAAGCTTCAGGGAGGAAGCACTGAGGAAAGACTTATTAATTTTTGCACGAATTTTAGTTTATTTTCCGAAGGAAATACACCATTTTTTTTCTATTTGTTATTATTTCTTCAATTCTGTATGTTACTTCCTTATCAATGGATTTGAGGCAAGTCTTTGGGAATAGGTTACCAGTTTATCTCACGAAAATACTCTATATAACGCCCTAATATTTAAAGTAATCATTGAATTCCACCACAAACATTTTCACAACCAAAAAAGATTTCAGAACACCCCAGATGTGTTTATTGTCAATTACATATTTTTTTACCCTGTAATCTTTCGTGCAATAGAAAGTTATTTGTCTGTATAACAAGTTTTTTACAATTAAAAAATTTAATACAACAGCTTGTGCTCTCTTTAATTCTGTCTCTTTATTCTAAATGATTTTCTCAGCAGAAAATTAAATAAGTTTTGTAAAAATTAGTCCACTCGATCCTTTTCACAGACCTTTTGTGTAAGATTTGACTGGAATTACTGTGACATCAACAAGATTTTTTTTGGCTGCTTTTAACTTCATCAACTTTCGCATATAAGAACAGGTTGCAGTCTGCACTGTTCGACTGGGTTGTGAAAAATCGGTAATCACTCGTAGTGTGCGCGACTGCCAGCGCTACCTATCAGTGTAGATTGCATCAACACAGTCCAACTCGGTGGAGGCATGGCCGTGCTCCGAAAGTCCGTGCTCTGCAGCGTCTGCCACAGTCTTTGATAAGACCTTCCGTTGGCTATCAGACGGCCGCTGAGCCTTGCGGAAATATAGATGATACTCAATGTGTCAATAGTACGAAGATATGTTAAGGAGTACGGTCCAACTTCGGGGTGCACGACGGCAGTTGCCAGTTGCCTTGGCCCCTTGAGGGCGCCTCGCCGGCCAGCCCGGCCTTACTTACTTACTTACTTACTTACTAAGAACAGGTTGCAGCGAAAATGAGCTGAAAAGTAACGAAACAAAAAATATGGGTAAAGAAGTCAAAGAGTAGGATTTTCTGCCAGCAAAGAAAAAAGGCACTCCTCCCTGTAAATGGTAAACTTTCTAAAATCCTACATCTTCATATGCCACATTGTAATCTGTGTTTCTTAAAGGTTCCCATGAAAATCTGTTCTTGTCTCTATTAAGATGATACTAATTTGCAAAACTCTTAAGTAACACATCTTGCAAATTTACCCTTCAGAAAAAATGGGGGAAAGGTGTACGCAGTATTTTATAGCAAAGGCAGTAAAAGAAATTTTTATTTAACAAAAATTATTACAAAGTATGCCTACATGTTTTAGTCAAATTTCTTAGATAATTAAAGTTACTACTAGTAACATGAATGCAATTTTTTCAATATCAAAATGATAAGTTTTTCTCAAAATCATGAATTAAAGGCTTTGACATCAAAGCGCAAAGTTAGTATCCTATTGTGCTCAAAACAGATTTCAGCTCAATGGTCAAACTCTTCAGCAGTAATTGTTCTTCCACTTATACTCTGTTGCCATTAAGTCCAGATCTTAGGGAGTCGAAGGGTTCAGGTCGTCAAAGCATTGCAGGGGTCAAACAGAAACCTCTGATTTCCTAAGCTGCGTAAGCTCGATTAATTGTGATCTTGCACTCCGTTCATCGTCCAAGTTTACTCTGTCCGGTGTCCTTCCTGTGGTTCGAGCGCAATTGTTGCTATTGTTGGTCAGATAGCAGTAGTTGTTCATTGAATTTAGGTTTTCACGGGTAGTTGTGTTCTCGCCACCACTAGCTCCAGTCTCAGTTGAAAATTTCCAAAATAGGACACTGCCGATAACGATGAGACCTACGATTTCAGAACATGTGGTCTTATATAGAAGGGTACTGAAAAACCTTATATCTAGGCTCATGAGCAGAAATAGACCATTTTCACTTCCATCATGCTGGACAAGAATTAAGTCACCGCAATGTATCTATCTTCATTAAAATTTCACATTCGGCATAATGAACATATTCAAAATCAACTCCCAAGTTAGAGAGTTGCATTTGTTTTGATTAAAGTCAGTGTTCCTTTTCAAAATTCCCACTTGCAAATGAGCCAAAATTCCTGTGAATAAAATCAATCTTCGAAGATTTCTTTTTGAAAAAGGAATGACCAATATATACGGAGTAATTAATGATCAATAAGTATTCTGGAATGGAGGCAAAATGACACATGTCTTCTCAGGAAAATGTACAACATCGATCAAAATTGAAACTTAAATATCAAAATTCTAATCCCATGAAGGTTAGGACCACCATATCTGGCCTCCCAACCAGTGCCTTAGAGTAATCACAGAAAAAGATTAGAAAACTCTAAGTATAAATCATGGAGTAAAAGAATTTGTCGCTCCATTTAAAACCATTTTTTTTGTCCATACAATGATAAAATCCCAGCTTTTCCTGATTAGCCTGCGCATTTCTACTGTAAACAATTAGATGGAATGTAAAGTCTTTCGTTAATCTAGTGTATTCAACTCATTCTAATCTTAAAAAATCAAGTATTACACTTACTCAGTACCACCAAAACTACCACGAATCCAGCATACTGTTGAATACCTCCACTTCGTATGTCTCCTGCAAATTTGATGGAATCTGTAAATTCGCATAATGCAAAATTATCTCAATTGAGTCTCAATGATAATTCCTCTCTTTTTCAAGGATCTGAACAATGGCATATATTTTGAGTCCTTTGCCTCTTGCTGTCAGTGACTTGAGCCCATTGGAGAAATATACGGAAAATGCATACCTCTAATGCAGTGTTTAAAAATCTCCGCTTACGTTCTGTTTTCCTCAAGAAAAATTAATAAAAATACTCTTGCGATTTTGTGTGATTTTTTAAGAATTATGTATTGAAGCTAATTATTCACTTAAAAAATCATTAGATACTGTTGAATATTTTAAAAAAAAAAAAAAAAAAAAAAAGTAGGAAAGAGACGTGAGTACAAAGTCGCAATTTGAGCTGCGCATTTTTTTTACTTTAGCCATAAATATTGATTTACAGTGCTGGAAAACCCGTATCTTTATTGTCTTATTTCAAATCTACACTGTTGATTTTACTTCCATAAGTAAAAATGAATGAGTATCGTTCAAAATTCGTACAGGTCGAATAGTTTGTCTAGAATGAAGAGAAATCCATACAAAATCCAAAAAATAATATCTTCCAGTTTTCCCTCGAATCAGTAAAATTTAATGTACAAACTGCATCGTCGCAAATCGACCAACGTGTTTTTTTTTTTTTTTTTTTTTTTTTTTTTTTTTTTTTGTACTTGCACCATCGATATTAATGTACAATTTATTACACATGCAAAGGACGTGTCGTGTCACGTGTGCGAAGCGACTACCGGTACGCAGCATTGAAACGCCTTCAATTTTTGAATAGGCAACGCGGACATCCGCAGAACACGATTAGTTGTATCCAGGCGCCGTAATCAAATTAGCGTCGCGTCCGGCGTCAGCCTCTGCTGCGTTACGTCGTCCGAGATTCGAGATTCCCGTAACTGTTTCTGCTTGTCAACAAGACGCGATGATCTATTTTATTTCTTTCATTTCCCATATAAAGGACATTAGAAACGGTACGACGATCATTAGGACCAGAAAAGACAGTAATTAGTTCAGGTTCTTATGTACTCCCGTGGAACGGTAAGTGAAGCAAGTGTGGAAAATATCTTNCCATTTTGGCCGCCATCTTGATTTTGGGGGGTTGGACGCAAAATTGAGCTTGACAACATCGAAATTCTTTTTTTACGCATCGAAATGAAGAGATTAAGATATTTTCCACACTTGCTTCACTTACCGTTCCACGGGAAGCTTTTTTTGAACATAAGAACCTGGACTATAGAGTAAAGTTGTTGTATACATACAAATATTATAAATAGATTAATCATTATGGTGGTAAAACAAGAGAAACTAACATCTCCTTTATTATCACATAGCCAATTGTTCACGTCATATCATATTTTTGTTTTAATTCGCGAAACCTCGCATTACTGTTTTCTTCTATCCTTTATTGAAGTTTTCTCAACATTTCGGAACAGGAATCATTCAATATTCTAAGTTAACATTTCAAAATATATGTATGTATCGATGGCCTCAATCGAAAAATGAGTTTCTTCTGTTGCGAAGCCGCAAAACGCTGTTAGTAGTTTTATCGCAAATTGCTGTTAGTGGTTTTATAATTGAATCGACGTATGCGAAAACGTCCGTTGTCCAATACAGGGTTTCATAATTGCGATGGGTTTCTTTTGTCCCACGACACTGATGAATTAGGGTCGATCTATCTCTTGTGAACGTTTAATTACACTTAGGGGATTATTTATAAAATATTGTTCTACATTCCTAACATCTTAAACCATCTTGTGTCGTTAAGTTACAACGAAATCGTCCACTCAAATTCTGAAACACTGATATTTGGACATCGGACGTTTTCGCATACGTCGTTTCAATTATTATTAATATTTTTATTATTATTAACAATTCCGTTAAAAAGGGCCTGACATTGAATGTTGACAATCTCTAACCTTGTCAGTATTGAATGCTAGTATGACAACGCCTTTGCTCGTTTTGAAGGATTTTAAGCGTTAGAAACATCCCTTAAAAGCGTCATGCATGCATATTTATCGGGAAAGACATAATGAACACAGATTTTAGTAGTGGACGGGTAGCTAGAAATTTTATTTGGGGATGGCGGATGAGGCATCTCTGGGAGCAAATCATTCACGTGGAATTCAAAGTGGCACAGGCGCAAAACGGTATTTTTAAGGCAAAATCTAAGGTCACACTGAACTCTTTCAGTGTGACGGAGAATATCTGGACCCTACGAAACCTCCCTCTCCCCTCCCTCCACCTCTTCTCGCACTACCACGAACAGTAAGGAGCTTTCCACCTACCACGGTTGAAATAGTCGTTGTGCTCCAAAATATTTGCATCGGAAAGTTTGGACATTCGAGGGGCCTGCTCAGCTGCTTGGTCTGGGATCTCCTTCATGAAACCGGTCACATTGGTGAGGGCTAACGTCGAAACGTTGACGATAGCGCTGGATCCATTGCCGGGCACCGGTGGCACGTTGCCGACGACGACACCTGGTAAAGTCTTCGTCTCCGAACTCACGCCGCTGTTCAGATACTGAATCGCAATGCTCGGTGGGACGGTTTGAGAGGACGTCCCAATCGAGCTAGGTTGAGTTCCGGCGGTTTGGTTTCCGGTTCCGGCGGTTTGGTTTCCGGTTCCGACGGTTTGGTTTCCGGTTCCGGTGGTTTGGTTTCCGGTTCCGGTGGTTTGGTTTCCGGTTCCGGTGTTCTGGGTTTCGGTGGGAGACTTCATCACAGCGGCATCGGTTGAACTGAGATTGACAGCAGATTTGGCTGCCACAGAGCTGTTGACTGCCTTGGTAGAGTCGTTCACTGGATCATTGATGCTCACCTAGGAAGAAGATGAAATTTAAAAAAAGAAAAATTATTAGGTAGGTATAATTCAAGTTCAGAATTACCGAGGAAGTCAATAATATTGACACTTAACAATAAAAAAGAAAGCATTTTCATCAAGAATTATTCTCTCAAGCGTTTTACCTACGCTCATTGAATACCTTAAATGATTTTCCAATACGGAGTAAGATTTAGTGAAGACAAGATGTTGCTAAATTTCATCGGATAATAATTTATTCGTTTACGAGAGGACGGTAATATGGGTATAACCTTTTGCCTGAAAGTGAAAGGGTATTTTTCCCCGTGAAAAAGCAAATTTCCTAAAATTTTCAAACGAATTGCGGTGCAATCATTCGTTCGTAAAAATAGAAAAAAATAAAGTTGTCCAGTAAAATTTAGGCAACAACTAATGTATCGATCGAAAATACACGATAAGCACGTTGAAATTTTGTGTTTTTCGGGTAGACATAGATGACATAGGTTAAAGGACGGAGCGCGATTCTCTTCTGAAACACGATGGACCTTGTCTAGACAAAGGTATGAATTAAAGCACAACGCTATACGTGAAATCTCTTCAAAATTTTACGAGGAAAACAACTCATAAGACGGGGAGTCTGAAAATAAAATCTTAAACAAAGATATAAGTGTTTTCTATCAACACTGGTTAAATAAAAATGACTCATTTGTATAATCGAGCTTCCCGTCCAGATCTGTGTTTAAGAGACTTGTTTAGTCGTGTACTTGTGTGTTAGGGTACCCACTTGTTTAGTCTAGTTTAGGAGCAGTTGACTTTGACCAGTCATGTCTTATCGCTGCTTTATCTTGCCTTTGTCAGGTGGAATGGATGCGATATACTGTCGGAAACTTAAGAGGTGCCTTTAGCTTGTCGAGAGTTTCACCCGACATGGGCACGACAAAGCAGCGATAAGACATAGCCGACCAATCACGCTCCGCCTTTTGACCTTTGTCATATATGTCTACTCGACAAACACAAAATTTCAACGACCAGGCTGCCGTACTTTATTTTAGCAGTTTTTATGATGCTCACCGGTTGCACTGACGTATTTAGCAAAGCAACAGACTTCAGTAGCTCATTGGAGGAAGTGCTTACGGGCTGAGTGGAAATGTTTGTCGGAGGGATAGCGGGAATGAAAACTGGTTTTGCGGGTGGATTCACGACCGGAAGTTGGCTCACCGGGACTAATGCCTTGACCGGGTCACTTACCGCGTTCGTGGCAACTTGGGATTTTGGCGGGCCGTTGATTTCCGGCTTCGTGATTTTCAGAGCAGGCGCATTCGAAGGTTCAACAGGGTGGTTCTAAGGATACATTTAAACAGTTTAAGATATTTATTGAGACATGGTCGATGGAAAAAGAGAGAGGTCAAATTAGTGGTGAGACTATGCAAGGCACGACGAAAGTTAGAAACCACTAGGGCTGGATTTAGGGGGTGGCCACATGGCGGCAAATTTCGCAATTTTTTTAAAAGTAGGCATAAAAAAATCGGATTTAGGAAAAAAATTACAAACAAGAAAAGGCGACAAAATCTCTCATTTCCCGGGAGTATAGTAATTTCTAATTTTGTCGCGACTTTCAGTGATACAAGAGACAGCAGCACCTTCAATTTGACTGCATTTTGCAATTTGGAACTATAAATTCTAGCCCGGTTTAAAAACAACGTAGGTGCCATTAGTTTCCCTATACACATAAGTGTTTTTTCAGATGAGCCAGAATTTGTAGTTCCAAATTGCAAAATGCAGTCCAATTGGTCGAATTATAAGAGAGAAACCAAACACGCAATTTGACCTGGAACGGCGCGGCGGTCGGCATGTAACACTTATTAGCGCCTACAAGACTGCATGAATACCTCACGCATTGCGTCAAACACAGTGCGTTCAGCAGCGGTCCGGTCGGCGCGGCGTGAAACGCAAAGCGCCTACAAGACTGTCCGGAGACTTCACGCATTGCGCCAAACACGGTGGGGTCTGCGCGGCGCGGCGGTGGAAGTTAAAATTTTTAAACAACGTTTATGTTTGTTCTTTCATAATTTTTTCGTTCATTTATTATAAATGGAGGGCCTTGTCCAGTCGGATAGCCACTCATACTTCGAAATTTCATTGTTCCCCCGACAATTCGACTTAACAAACTTTTACTTCGCTTAAGTCGAATTTTTGCGATTTTCACGCTGATTTCGAGCTAAGCGGAGAAACGAATAACTCGAATTGCTGCTTCAGTCGAATTTTTCATTGGTCCCCAGACAATTCGACTGAACGAACTTTTACTGTACTATGTATATTAGTGATCCGTGACTGTCTGTATTGCATACACAAAAAATTGAAGGCGCTCTGGCTTCTTCATACCAACGAAGCATCTGATAGAAAAAGAAAGACAAGATGAGGAAAATAGAGAGGGAGAAAAGGAGGAAAGAAATTCAGTAGAAAGTAAGATTGAATGAAATGAAGGTTGGGCAATAAGAACTCACTGAAACAAGTGATTTTGCTGCGTTCGATGGCTCCGCTTTCGCCAACACTGTCGTGCTTGTCTGTTGGGGGAGCTCAGATTTTGCCGGAGGATTTGTCACCGCGGACGTCGTCGATGTTTTCGGAGAGTCGCTCACGCTCGTGTTGGCCCCCGAAACCGAGCCTCCTTGGACATCCGTCGGCGTCCCTAGGGTGCTCCCAGGCAGTCCTGTGCTCGCTTGGTTGTCCTCCGTCTTCCTGACCAGATCGTTGGGAATCGTCGCGGCGGAGGCTCGAACCGGATCGCTCTTTACCTTCGGCACTGACGTCTCCACAACCGGTTTGACAGTCTGATTCGACGAGACACTCGTCCCTTGAGGCGAAGAAGTGACGCTAACATTACCCATCGGTTTCCCTTGTACCTCCAAGACGTCCACTCGGGATGGCGAAGCGATGCCTCTGCTCTGATTTGCGTCCACTTGCAGCTTCTCGACCGGAGTTTCGGAAACGCTCCGCGAGGGGGCGCTGGTTACGGTTATCGTGCTGATGATGGGAACAGGCTTGAAGACCAAAGGGATTTGTCTCCTCGAGATATTCTTCGCAACCTTTGTATCATCTATCATGTTCGTTTTAACAGAGGGAGGAACCACGGAATTTTCACCGGTTTTTTGAGGGGTGCCTACTCTCTTCACGCGTTTCAAAACCCTGGAATCGTTGCTAGAGTTGAGTACCGCGTCCCAGATGACGCTCAGTTCGTCCGTCTTGCCCTTGGAGACGAGTCGTTGGATTTCGTTCGCGGAGGTCTGTGGAGTGTTGCGCTCGTTCTGACGTGGAGACGCTGCAAGGACGGCTAGGTTCGGGAGGAGACGGTCGAAGAGTTTATTGTCTCCGTGGAGGCGGCTGATCCCCGCCGCAGGTATCTCCGACCTCAGTCGATCGGCGAACGATTGGAAGATCTGCACGACGAAGCTCACCATGTCTGCGATACTCGATCGAGCGTCGAATCCTTCAATCACAATAATAAATGTTTATCGTTACTCACACACATAGAAAAAGTCCATTACCGTCGTCAACTAAGGTAAATTTCTCAGGTGATTTATTTTTACGGTTTGGGCAGAGGATCGAAAAAGCTTTCCCCGGATAACACTCTAGCCTCAAGAAGAATTAGCGAACGATAAAAGTAAATTATTTGACGACGGAGGGCGTAATAAAGTTTCAGGCAAAATCAGGTTGAAAATGATAATACAAGACTTTGGTTAGTTCGGTTTTTATGTATTCATTTTTTGTACCTATTTTTGTAGAGGAAGATTGGGTGATTTACGATTGAGCTAGACCTTAAGTGAAGAGATTCGATTTTTTCCTATTTTAATGAAGGATAAAATGAACTACATTTTGCAGTTAATAACTAAAATTTCTGGCTCACTTGTATAAACACTTATGAGCATAGGAAAACTAATGGTAAACGCTTTATTTGTTTCTATAAATTAAGCTAGAAATTGTAGTTCTTAATTTGCAAAATGTCGTCCAATTGAGAAACTGCATCACCCGATAAGGACCATTTTGAGGTCCGCATGGAACTGTAAAACCGGGATGGTTCATGTGTGCCAAAATTAGGCCTTCGCAGGAGTGCATTTTCTTCTTCAGGGTAGGTACATCAGGTTCTGCAATTCAAAGCACTATTACATTCTACGGTTGTAGTTTGATTCCTTTAAATAAAATGAGAGCTCTCAAACTTATTTTCATTGAAAATTAAGCACAATTGCAGACATTTTCACCAAAAATAAGCACGCTTATGGTAGTTTTTACTAAAAATACACTTTCAATGTTTATTTTTAAGACTATTGATTAAACATCGGTAGCCAAAGTCAAAACCACGTACATCCATTGCGATGCCTCGAAATTCCCGCACCTATTTTATTAATTTAAAGAGAAACTTTACTGCTTGAAATTCGTACAGAATATTTTCTTGACCGAGGTTAAAAATCGAAAACGTTTCAGGAGATTACGTTTAGCTATCTTTTCAAAGTAAAAATGAAAATCGTATGATAGGAACTTCGCAATTTCGCACACGGAGATCCGTGATTCCGCACTTTGGCCATCAATATGCAAATGAAGAAACTAAAATTAATTATATATTGTGTGGTATTTTAATTTTTTATCATAGTAAATGAAGAATGGTCCATACAGAGTGTACCTGTGCAAAAAAACTTCAAAATCATGAGTTGAAAAATGCTATACGCGAGTTTTAATGATCGCGCTCAACACTGCCGTCGTCGGCGCAGGCGTTAGCATGAAGCGCGTGTCGGCGCGCCTGCAAGACTGCATGGATACTTCACGCATTACGCGTGCTCCATGGTGCGCGCCGTCAGTGCCTGCAAGACTGCATGGATGCTTCACGCATTGCGCGTTCGCCTCTGTGCGCTGCTCTATCTTCGCGTCTCTCCGTTTCCCGGTAAGAAATAGTGAAGGCCTCATCAAAAATCAGGAAAATATCAGGAATTTACAAAATGAAAAAAATCAGGAATTATTTATAAAATATCAGGAAAAATCAGGATAATATCAGGATTTTTCAAAATTAAAAACTACCAGACACCCTGCTTCAGTAACGACACTGGGCATCGTACCTTGACTCAATAGAATCTGCTGAAGTCGTTGCGGGATCGGCTCCAGCCGCTGAAGGAGAGAGTCTGGTTCAGGAGTCGTGATGCGCCCGGTGGCGTTGAGGGCGAAGGAGCCGGTCTGTCTCCTGAATCGTTGTTCCAGGCTCCTGAGCAGCTCCTGGTTCAGCTCGGCGTCGACGCTCCTCTGCAGCTCCGCGGCGGCCTCCTCCAGGACGTCGAGGAGGTAGCCCCAGACGAGATGCGTCTCCCGCTTCGTCCGCAGCACCTCGTCCAAAGTCCGTCTCGCGCTGCTCGCGTTCCGGTCGCTCAGGATCTTGGCCACGGCCTCGTGGACGATCCAGCTCAAGTTATGCTCTTTTTCCGCCATTTTGGAGTCGTTCCTGCCGGAGATAATATATTTTAGTGTCCCTTCATAGTGGGAGTAAAGACAATGTGAATCTATTTCTGATTAGTTCCCGTATTTTAGGCCTTTACAGTGGCACAAACGGGAATACTTAAAGATCACATTTTCACCTATTGCAAAAATTTTAAACCGGAATGGACCGGAAAATAGAGAATTTGCAGGTGTCTAAAATTTGATGAATTTCGTGTTCAAGTGGAAACTACTGAGTGACCTGAACACGAGGATACTCTTGGTTCATGAATTGAACAATTATTGGAGAAGATATGACAAAGTGATATAATCTGCTAAAATACGTGTGTTCAAATGGGAAATGCCGCCAGGTAACGTCACTATAGGCGGTACATTTTCTCACTTTTAAATCTATTTCTGGTAGTATTTCCCATATCAGAAAAAAATTCTAAAAATACTATGAAATCAGCCTTTTAAACACTTTTAGATGAAGCAATAAAAAATTTGCATGCAAATTCCCACTGGGAGAATGCGCCCCCCCCCCTTCCCTACCCGCTTCACCGACAAATGTGGGTCTCACCGACTTATGAAAGTAAGGTGGAAGAAACCTAGGGTGTCACTACCACGGTGGATGACGTCAAAAACCCGAATTTTCAAAGGGCGACATCTCGGTTCAAGAGAGATGCTGCTTGGACAAATCTCATTATTTTTAGCTATTTTACAAGAATTTAGAGTCAAAACACGATTCTGTGACCAGCGCAATAGACCCATTCTACTGTTGACCCTTCAAAAGTTACGAGGATTTATACTGCTCGACAATGTGACCCTTGTCATGAAGTTATTTTACCTGTCCAAGTACTGGAGAGCGATGGATGCCAGAGGCGGGTCCAAGGAGAGAAATAGCTCCGACATAAGCTCGCGGGCGCGGTTGGCAGGGTTGGATTCGGTCCGGGTTGAGTTGTTCCTGGAGGAGTTGTTCCTGGAGGGGTTGTTCCTGGAGGAGTTGTTCGCTTTTAAAGTGTGGTCGATGCTGTGGTCCTCGAGGAGAGTCGAGTAGTATTCCGTGAAGAAATCAAGTAAAAGCTCGCTGCACCTCTCATTGAAACTCCGAACACTGGTATCCGAGCTGATGTTTGGCTCATCAAAGTAGTTGAACGCCACCCCTGTTTCAATCCCTATAAATGACGAGGGACAAAGTTTCACCAGCCGTACACAACAACGAACAATAAAATTATCATAAAACATGTTAATAGAATCTTCGGAAAATTTCCACAAAATCTAGTTTCTTGAGAGAGCTTTCAACCATTGTTATGAAAAATTATACCTATGAAATGATAGACATGGGTAAAGGGGTAGATTCCGACAAGGAGCACGAGGACTACAATGGGCAAAAGTGGTTTGGAAGAAGTAAAATTGCGACAAATTCCCTTTAATACCCTATATTTGATTTAAACCCCCTTTAAAGATTAACTAGTGTATGTAGGAAAAAGGGAGAGTTACCATTCCTCTCCCCCCCCCCCCCCCCCNTGTGATGGGGAGGGGGCAGGGCCGGATTTAGGGGGTGGCCCACATGGGCCGCGGCCCAAGGCGGCAAATTTAGGGGGGGGGGCGGCAAAGTTTGCAATTTTTTTAAACGTAAATAGGTAAAAAAAAACATCAGATTCAGAAAAAAAAGTACGAACGAGAAAATGCGACAAAATCATGTGCTGAAAGTGAAGTATTTTCTAATTTTATCGTCTCTCGGTGATACAAGAGACAGCACCTTCAATAAAGTCTTGTGAAGAGAGAAACTAAACACGCAATTCGTTCTAGAACGGCGCAGCGCAGAGAGCGATGATGACGAGGACTTGAGATGAAAAGGAGAAGCCCTCGGCGCGGCGCGGCGGTCGCTCGTATCAGCGCCTACAAGACTGCATGAAAACTTCACGCATTGCGTCAAACACAACGCGGTCGGCAGCGGTTGCACAGTGCGGCCAGCGCGGCGTGGCGCGGCGGCAGAAGTTAAAAGTATTAAACCGCATTTACGTTTCTTCTTGCATAATCTTTTCGTTCATCTCTTATAAATGCAAGGCCTTGTCCACACAGAGATAGGTTTACGGAACTTAACTTCCGCGCAAAGTTCCATGAATTTTTGCCAGTAGTGTTGACAGGGCTTTTGCAAAAAATGTGTCCAACACGAGTAAACACGTCTTATGCACCCCTCTCCTCCGGCACATTCACTTGATGGTTCTTATTGATGTTTCAAAACGAATGAGAAGGCGGCGGAAAAAAAACATGGCAAATTTATACTGGATTCTTTGTTTTATTATTTCTTAGTTTTTTTTTTTTTTTTTTTTTTTTTNTTTTTTTTTTTTTTTTTTTTTTTTTTTTTTTTTTTTTTTTTTTTTTTTTTTTTTTTTTTTTTTTTTTTTTTTGCAAAACGGAATGGTATCCAGGCAAACGTTACGTGATTGTTTTGGGGGTGACTGGACCGACGTTCCAATAGAGTTACAAGGGGTAGATGATTGTTAAAAAATCGGAAAAATTTCACTACGTAATTTATGGACAGACCTTATGTCCTAGAGACTGGATTTTTTGCTTTTATTTATCTCCACGAAATTTCTTGCCTTAGAATTCTTGAATATTATGTACGTTGAGATATTCTCTAAAATCGGGACGGTCGAGTTCTCTAGGTAATTGCCGTCCGAATGACACCCTCCCAAGGGTTTTTTGGGGGGGATTATATGTACATTGAGATTTTTCATTTTTTCGCTCAAGAAACATTTTATACGAACTCAGATCGACTGATACACTCGAGTAGTTTACGTAGTATTTCCATAATGACCATGAGCCTATAAAGATAACCTACAGTAGGCAATCATTCCAAAATGTGGAAAAGGAAAATTTATGGAGGCTCACCGATGATGAAGAAAATACTCCAAAATCCAGCTCCCGCATAGTTCCAATTGTTCATCTCTAAAAAGTCTCACCAACTACAAAAGTAGTTTTTTTTCCTTGGTCACTACAATAAGCTGTAAATTATCTACATGAAACGACGGCAATTCAAAAATTTGCTGACTTCTCAAGCTAAAATCTTTAAAAACAATTTTTTTGTAAGGTAGTCTTTCGCCAGTGAAAGAAACTCAGCTGATATGATTTTAGAAATTGATTACTCGCATTTTAACCTAAAATCGTCTCCTTTTTATCTTCTTCTTCTTCTTTTTTTTTTTTTTTTTTTTTTTTGAGACCGCTATCGATTTTGGAGTTCAGACAAGAGTAGGCATACCTAAAGCCTTCACATATTACCACGGGGAAAAAAATAAGATACTCCAGTGAAACCAAACGAAAAGAACATGTCGATGGCTGCGGTGCGAAACCACGCATCTCTATTTGCGACGTTTCAGACTTCCTGTCATACTTTGTTTGTTTCTTCGGGAATCTAGTCAACGTAATTTCTTGAAAACCTTGATTATTTTTACTGTTGGGAGAAAATTCTGTTTAAATTTCAAGATACCCATTAACTTATTTTTCTTCAAAAAATAAAGTAGGAGTGGGAATTTTGAAACACCGCAATGGAGATATCTACGTGATTTCGCACTTCAGCCATCGAGTTTAACCCTCGACTTTAACCCCCTCTCCCCCCCCCTTCTGATGGCAATGTGAAAAATGTTATTAGTTTTGAGTCTCTGTGAAGACCCTCCTCTATCGCCCTGAGGAATTCGTGGGATTCCGTGTTCCGGATGATTTGGCGTAAAAGTAGTGGACCCCCTTGTGTCTCTGGATTAGATCACTATTCGCACTCTCCGGTTGGTTAGTTGCCTATTTGCCGAAATTGAAGGCGGCCTGTCAATACTTCCATCAGCTATATCATTGCGTACAGCAAACAGCGTGTAGTAGTGTATGTAACGAAATAAATGTGTGTCTTTTGATTTAGATATAATTATTTCAGCTCTCAGCAGTTTTTTGCCTACACGGCAAAATTGAAGGGGTTTGTCAGCGTTACTAATTGGCGTTTTTTGCTCTCCTTGAAAACTTAGTCTCATCCCACAAGTCCCCTCCGCACCTCTGCTCAGTCCGAAATAATCGAGTAACATTCAGGCATGCTTCAATTTTGAACATGCTAGTACCTGAGACCTTGTCTCAACGGGACGTTTTCATGGGATTTGTCCCAAGTTCGAATCACAGGAATGAAACTTCTGGGCTTTTCCCCCGTCAGACAGCACAACACAATTTCTTTTTCTCCTTTTAAGTTGTTCCTGGGACTCCATAAGGACTCTTATTTGGTACTGTGATTAGTATTGACTAACTCAATATTTTTCCCAACTTCGCAAGTGAGATTTTTCCCTGGGGCAGATCCCACGAAACGTCCCGTGGAGACAAGGCCGCACTGGGGAAAAATATCGATTGACTCAATAGTTTTCCCGACTTCGGATTTGGGATCTTTCCCTGGGACAAATTCCGTGAAACGGCCCGTGGAGACAAGGCCTAAAGTAAAATCAAAAACAAAAACGTGGGTCCGTTTTGATCTGTTCAATTTATTCAAACAGACAACAAAGTTCTGTCTTTCATTTATATTTTTAAATTAAATGTTGCAACAACCCTGGTAAAAATTGGCAGTAGAATCTGTGTTCCAAAATACCATAGACCTACAGCCGGCTGTGAGATTTCCAATAGCTTCTATAATCGGGAACACAATTTCTTATAGCCTTTTATGGCCGATGGCGATTAAGCAACAGCCTGGCGATAAAGTGTATGCTAAACGTCACTAATTACGGATGCTAGGGCTTAGTGCGTTTTTGGACTACCGCTCTCTTTTTGGGCCGCAGTATCTCAATTTATTTTGCGAGGAAAGCTCCGTACTTTTGAAGGATTTCTGCCATTCCTAATATGTTGGAGCGCCTTCAATTTTGTATGATACTGTGCAATACCTCTGGTGTGAAATAGTTGCTTCAGACGCCGTGGCGCGGTGCGGCGGGCGGGTAGAGAGCGCGGAACGCGCATTGGCGCCTGCAAACCTAACAGGGATACTTCACGCGTTGCGCAATGCGTGAAGTATCCCTGTTAGGTTTGTAGGCGCCAGTGCGCCGCCGCTCCGCTTTGCGTTAGGCTCTAATATTTAATCTGGCGGAGTCAGCGTTATTCAACCCATGACTTTGAAATGTTTGCACACTCTGTATGGATTATTCTCATTTTAATTGATGAAAAAAATATGAAGTAAAGGAAAATATAATGCGCGTTTTGTAAATATTAAGGTGATTCCGTACAAACTTAAGGATTTACAAAGCACAAGAATTTCTACACAATTTCTTATAGCCTTTTATAGCCGATGGCGAAAACGCAACAGCCAGGCGATAAAGTGTAAAGCCCGGCGATAGGAACTATAGCCCGGCTGTACAATTTTTTATCGCTTCGTGCAGCCCGGCCGTATGATTTTTTCCACTTTCTACAGCCAGCTATATGATTTTCCATCGCCTTCTTCAGACGGCTATAAGAACTCTTATGGTATTTTGAAACGCAGCTCCTATCGCCAATTTTTATCAGGGAATTGACTATTCAATCCTTGGAAGACGAGTAATCTGGAGACAAATAATCTGCCGAGTATGATCTACTGATGAGGTCTAAAAAGGCCCAAACCGGTATAGATCTCTCGACGTGACTCCAACTTAATATTCCATTGCAAACTGCCTGAGCTGAACACTCTCTCTCCTCAGTTTCGTACTGGTGCGCATTAGAGTTCAAAAAATTATTTTTGACTCTAATTTTAATTTTTGGAACTTCTCGGCTTTGTTTCCCCACGAAATGGTGTGGACCCAGCACCATTTCTCCACCTTGTAATCTGGAGATAGAAAGCATATTGCCGTGAAACGGCCCGTGGAGACAAGGCGTAAAGCGAAATCAAAAACAAAAACGTAGAGCTGTTTTGATCTATTCAATTTATTCAAACAAAAACGAATTTCTTTCTTTCATTTCTTTTTTTTTCTTTTTAAATTTAATGTTGCAACAATTGACTATTCAACCCTTGGAGGACGAGTAATCTGAAGATGGACAGTGTTGATGTAGTATCAAATCAAATGGTGTAGGAGACCATGATGTGTTCGGCGACCTTTTCGGCGAGCATGAGAAGTGGGGCCGAGCTGTAGGCGGTGAGCGGGTCCGGGAGGACGGCCGAGCCGGAGACGCGGAGTCCGTTGATGCCGTAGACCCTGCCGAAGCCGTCCACGACCGCCGAGGGATCCGATCCCGGTCCCATCTTGCAGGTTCCCGTCGGTTTCGAGGCGGCTGTCGTGAAATACTTGAGGGCGCACTTCCAGTAGTCGGGACTCTTGAACGGGAACGCCGAGCACTCCTCGACCGCGATCGGAACCAGTTTGGACCCAACCTTGAAAATATCATGAACATGTATCAGCATGGATGAAGAATTTGAGTTATTTTGAAAGCATTACGGTGATTCGTCAGGCTCAAATGACGTGGTCGAAGTGGAGTGCGATATATCGCATCGACGGGAGAGACATACGGAGGGACAGAGGGAGGGAGGGAGAATTTTTTTTAAATTTTTTTTTTCATAACTTGACTTTACTTGAATTGCACATACGTTTTATTTTGGAAAAAAGCTTCCTAACTTGTACATTTTGACAGTTATTTTTACGTTTTCGTAAAATCTGAGAATCATTCTAAACCCAAAAATCAGCAAAATTCAGGGAAATGAAAGCAGAATAGTGTTTGGAAAAAAATCTCGCATTCGATACAGAAATCGATGGTTGAATCGAATGCGAGGTTTTTTTCCGAACACCATTCTGCTTTCATTTCTCTGAATTTTGCTGATTTTTGGGTTTAGAATGATTCTTTAGACTCATGCGCAGGGGCTATCGTCCTTTTTTTCGTTAAAAATTCAAAATCGACCGAGAATTTTGACCTATTCGATGCGACATATCGCATGCCATTTCGACCACGTCACTTGAGCTTGACGAATCACCTTAACAGTTTTCAGATTTCACGAAAACGTAAAAATAATTGTCAAAATTTACAAGTTAGGAAGCTTTTTTCCAAAATAAAACGTATGTGCAATTCAAGTAAAGTCAAGTTATGAAAAAAAAAAAAATTTAAAAAAAATTCTCCCTCCCTCCCTCAGTCCCTCCGTATGTCTCTCCCATCACCGCCGAGTCCAAACGGATCAAGAAATACCTTCGCAAAAAATGGAGTGACATTCGAATTCGGAAGGGATAGGCGCTTGTTTATACTCCAGCTTTTGTTTTTGCCATATAGTTTTTTGGAGGGGGTATTCAAAGTTAGCGATGATTAGTGTTTTTTTTTTTGGGGGAGGGGGGAGGGAGGGCTATAAATCCCGCAAGTTTAACGTTACGTAATTTAAGTATAATCCCATGGATCGATTTGTCCGCTGTTTCAAGAGATCGTCGGTGGTTTTTATTTAATTTGATTATATTTTATGTAGTAGCGTGACTATCTCCTGCCGTCCCCATCAGATGGGGGTAGCGGAGCGCAAAATTTTTGCGATGCAAGGGCTTAGCGCCACGGATTGGCGGGGAAGGGGGGGGGACTAGTTACGCCACTGATTTCATGAGCACGATGATTAAGATTAATGGAAACAAGAAACGAGATTTTTCATTTTCAAAAAAACAAACATTTTTTCTGCAATCAGTTTTCAAGAACGCCCTCATAGTAATCTCTCGTACAAATTATTATTTTAAACAGATAAAACTGCGAGATACCCAAAATCTACTCTCAGATTTGGATTCCTCGCTAAAAAGCGCTCGGAATTCGGTTGTATTGCGTTAGCATATCAAGATAAGAGGCCAAAAGCGGACATGCTGATTCGAACATATCAGTCTATCATGCGAACTAGGGGACTATTAGGGGGGGGGGTCTATCAACTAGGGGAGAAGAAGAATTTATCGTCAGCGAAATTCCTCGGGTGCGAGAAGCGAGGCACGCCGCGCCAGACGCCAGGCTGACGCCACTCGGTCTGGTCTTGCTCAGGGAGCTCCGTCCTCTGTCCTTTTATCCATGCCGCCGCGCCAGTGGCAGCCTCAGCCTCCACTCGCTGGGAAATAAACTACCCTGGCGCCTGGCGCCCGGAGCTCGGTTTCGTCGAGCAGAATCCCCGGGGCGGTTTATTCTTCCTCATGTCAGAATCAGTATGCCTACTTTAAGTCTCTTTCCTTCATGCTATGCCAACGTATGATATATGAGACGGCATCAATTTTTAACGAAGAATCCGAATCTGAGCTCAGCTTTTGACTATCACTCTTTAAAATCTATTTAAAATTGAAGGAGAAATACAGGGGCGTTCTTAAAGATCAATCATGCAATAGTTGTTTGTTAGTATATCCGTTCGTTTTCTTTTTCTTCTTTACCAGAACGATCAAAAATGAAAAATCTCGTTCCCTGTTTCCATTCAGTACATTGCTCACGAAACATTAGAACGGAATTGATTCAAATCGAATAAAAACCTCTGAGGATCCTTTGAAATAGCGGAGGAATCGATCGATGAGGTCACCTCTAAATTACGTAACGTTCAACTTGCGGGATTTTGAACCGTCCCCCTCCCCCCTCCATCCG